TAGAATGAAAAGCTTTTTTTTTTTCCATAGCTGCATTAAGGCCAAATAGGTAGCACTAGCATAAAAGTAATGGATTTGAACATTTTCAATCTATATGGAAAAGTGGGACATGTTTTGATTTGGATTTGGTAATCATGTTTCTTCCCAAACTCAAAATTAGACCATAAGCCTCAGCAGGGAAGAAAGAATTTAAGGCATTAATTTAATTTAGGCCCTGTGTTTTATTTTTAATAAATTTTGTATCAATATAACATGAAACATTTTCTAAGGGTCCAAGTTGACTGGAAATTAAAATACAGGATGATCATGTCAGAACTCTGGAGTATGGTTTTTGGGTTCCCAGACTGACTGTATAGCTCTGGTCAGTGTTCTCTGCATCTGTATTTTGCCATTTGTAAAATGTGGTAATTACTGCCTTCATAGAGGAAATGCTGGATTTATGCAATTTGTTGAGACTGTGAAACATTATGTGAGTTTTAGGTACTGCTGTAGTCCTTTTCTCACACTGACTGTTTCACAAACAGAAGTGCCCATACTGCAAAAGTGTTATAAACACTTGTAATAGCAGGTTTGGAAGATATAGTCAAAATAAAAACAATCAAAGTGCTCTGTCTCCACACTACTTTAGGGCAAAGTGCCAGTTAATTGGATGGCCTCGAAACCAGTTTTGCAAATCAGATTGCCACATGTCTCCCCGGTGTTTCCTGGCCAGCCACGTGACTTCATGCTCTGTATGTGTATGGCTTCCTGGGAGCTTGGTCCTTCTGCATGTTTGTGCAGTGCAGATGGTCAGCGCACGTGCAATGCATCTGGTGCTTCCCAGAAGTGTCCCAGTGTACAGGATGTACACTGTTGGGCTAGGCTCAGCATTTCCATGGAAAACATACATGTGCATAGCTGTAGCCTCCAAGTAGTTCCATTAACTTATTTTTGTAAGTAATCCTATTTATTCTTAGCAGTTGAAGTTTAAGGAATCAGCTGCCTAAAAAATGCGATTCCCACCATGAGTAGATCTCTGGGTGGTAACAGGACATATATTCTAATGTTTTAAAGTCCTAAATAGGCTGAGGTTTGATGACAGCTGAATCTAATTCCCTTTAAACAAAGTGAATTTCACTTCATATTTCAGTGAAACTGGGATGAGTTGCAAGACTCAAATGCAACCCAAAGCAAGCATATGTGGTAATCTGCTTTCATAGTGAAAGTTCTTCAGAAACGAGCCCAACGTTATTGGAAAAAAAAATTGATGTTCCAAAAAAAACTTGTTCCAAAATCACTGAACTTGTTACTTTTAATTAATTTAATAAGTCTTTGTGGTGTGACCCCTGAATGTAACATTGTCTTAGGCTTCACAGGGTTTGCTTATTTATTAGGAAACATAGGCCTGCCTTGTTCTACAGGGGCAAGAGCAACATGAAGGGAAAAGTAAAGAGAAGACCTTTCCTTGCCTGGGTCATTTATGCTGAATACAGCTGCTGAGTGGACAGCTTCCAAAATAATGTAAGGCTTTGAATCATGAACATTCAGAGCCAAAGTAGAAGTCACTCGTGGCAGCTGTGAGAGCAGCTCCATTGCATAGCAGTTATGGGCCACATCCTCCTTCACATAGTTAGTTCTTATGTTGTTGTAAGAAGATGTCTGTTGGGATCTACAATGGCAATGTTTGTTGACATTCTGTCTGTTGATCTACAATGTGAACGTCTGTTTGTGACTTACAGGTATACATATTGATGGCTTTAGAGCATGTTGTGCTGCTCAGTGAAGGTGTGTCTGCAGAAGGTCTCTAGTCCATCAGCTATCCTCAGGTCCAGTGCTGTGTGTGTCCGCGCCCAGTAATTGCAGAAATGTTGTCACTCCTTCTTAATTTATCTGTGGGAACTTGCTGAGGCTATCACTCTATGTTAATCCACTGGCTTCTCTTCTGACTGTGAAACTCAGACTTGTTGCAAGATATGAAGTTCTCTGGAGGAAAAAATACATATTTGTTAGCCTCCTCTGCCTTCTGTACGGGCCCCTCATTGTTGCCTTCAAAGCCTTCTATGACAAGGCTGTCATCAGTGAAATTTTAATAAAACTACTTTTATATGTAGAGGAGACTCCAAGGAGACGTTATACTGGTCTTCCAGTACCTAAAGTGGGTCTACAAGAAAGCTGGAGAGGGTCTCTTTATCGGGGTGTGTAGTGATAGGATAAGGAATATTGATTTTAAGAAGATAGATTTAGCTTAGATATAATGAATAAATTAATTACTGAGAGTGTGGTGAGGCACTGGCACAGGTTGTCCGGAGAAGCTGTGGATTCCCCATCCTTAGAGGTACTCAAGGCCAGGTTGGATGGGACTTTGAGCAACCAGGTCTAATGGAAGGTGTCTCTGCCCATGGCAGGGGGGGTGGAACTAGATGATCTTTAAGGTTCCTTGCAACACAAACCATTCTACGATTTTATGGTTCTATTTCTCCCTGGAAGAAAACAGCTATGTCAAAATAAAGACATTTTGAGAAAACATGTTAGTCTTGCATAAATTTTATAAAATTAAAAATTGTGTCCTCTTGGTATTTTGGGATAACATGATTAAAAAACAAAACAAAACAAAACAAAACTATTAAGAACTGTAATCAACAAGATGTTAAGAAGCTATGCAATGTATATCAATTTTGTTCACATGAAATTCTTTTGTCAGCTTGAACAGTTGCATGGGAATGAAGTAGGACTGACTAGTATTGTTGACACTGAAATGTGGAAATACATTTTTGTGGAAATACAGTCCAACAAATGATAAGGATTAATTCTATTGTAACAGTAAAGGCCCTTAAGATTTGATGCAAAGCTTTTGAGTTCCTTTGGATGAGTAGTCAGCAATACTATTGGACTCCTACTTATCTTGTGAATAATGGTCTTCTCTTCTGATATGCTGTACAGTCTGGATCTAATCTGCTGTGTCATCTCCTTGATTGCTTCCTGTTACCTGTGGAAAGGAACATTCCTTGCAGTTTACAACTGTGGTGAATATACAGGAGCACTGAGTAGATACACCGTAGATAGAATAACCTCAGTTTGCCAGTGAACAAAAGCAATTGAAGGAAGAGTGCACACCTTGATTATTATCATTTGCTTTCACATCTTCTCTACAGAAGAAAATAGACCATCAAGCAAAAATGATGTTAGGAAAGTTGCTTGTTATTCACATAGAATGTGTCGATGCAAATTTGCATGAATTGCATTTTGGGTGTTTTAGGAAAGTAGTTATTATATAGCATCTTTTATTTGAAATAGAAGAGACAGACACCTCCTTTAAATATTTGAAGACTGGTCTATTTTCCCTTTCTTGCACGTGGAGTTCCCATTAAGATTAAGATAAAAATGAGTCATGCTTCTCTCTTCACTACAAATAATAGGCTGCTCCTATCAAGCATGCTTTGCAGTTGTTCTAGTCAGGAGTTGCTACCACGCTTTTCTCTTGAGGGAAAGGTGGGGCAGGAGTAAAGTTAATTCACATTGCTTTGAAGCATCCTGTTCTTTCCCCAGTTTCTATCCCACATTATTATTATTAACTCTTTCTTAGCTGTTCCTTTTTTTTTTTAAAAAAAAAAAAAAAAGACAATAAACAGATGTTTATATCGTCTCTCATTTTACTCAGTCAGACTTTGCTCAGATTATACAGTCATTCCCACTTTACTTGTTGCACTGTGTAGGCGGCATCTTTCCAACACAGAGATGAACAGATTGCGATCACCTCATAGCCTCTGGACCTTATGCCTTTCATTCAGTGCTTGTAGTGAATTGAATGAAATGCTCCCCTCCCGCATGCTTTGCATGTACAGCAGCTTGCTCAGGGTTCCCAGGGTGAAGGCCAGGAAACAAATTGTAAAATGTAACTATGGCACCTACATTTTATTTTATTTTATTTTATTTTATTTTATTTTATTTTATTTTATTTTATTTTATTTTATTTTATTTTATTTTATTATCCATTATATTTATCCTCATAATGTTCATCATTATACACTTGCTTCCATGTGCAAACTTGTAAAGTATTATTTAATTAAAATCCATCCAAGACATCCTTTATTATTAAAGATGCTGCGGTACATATTGAAATTGTGACAGGTTGATAGTAATATGTTCGTATGTGTATGATAGGAATATGTTTGCATGCAAGAGTGAGTTCCAAGTGCATCAAAAGAAAGCCTTTCAAAATGGAGGGAAATACTGTCAAAACTGAAGATCAGGGAGCAAAAAGTTCATTCAGATGATGAGTAGTCAAAGGTTCTCTATATGCTGACTGAATAGAAAGAGTTTGAAATTTGTCTGTCAGGGGGTATTTAATAGCACGATGTTGTTCTAGTTTAGAATACGTGTGCAGCTCACCTAGGTTTCATATCAGGCAGATCCAGTAGTACCAAACCAGTGCAAGCTTTTCTCTTTTGTCTAGCTAACAATAAGGACTAGCTTTAACCAGTTCTGAAATTGTGGATTGACATATTAATTTGAAAGTATTCGTTGTGAAAGGATTACAATGAGAAGATTAAGGATGTTTGTGATCATAAAGGCTCTGACTATACCACCATTTCATCTTTAAATAATTCTGTATTGAACAAAATATTATAAAATTCATTTGAATATAAGTAAATTTAGCAGTAATGTGGCTTCAAAGACTTTCACAGCATATTTGTATCTTCTGTGCAATTATAGTTGATTATAAGGTAAAAGTTTAAGCTACCTCAAAAAACATGTAATCCTTTTTTTCTTGCCTTTTTTGTTTTGTTTTGTTTTTGTCTTGTTTTGTTTTGGTCATGTGTCTGAGCCCAAAGAGGGAAATATGGAGAAGGTGATTTAATGTGCTAGCTCTCTTTCTGAATGAATTACTAGCTGCTGCTTGTTACTTGTTACTTGCATTGAAAGTACTATACATGTACTTGAAAATAAATCATTTTCAGGTCTTCAGTGAAGCAGCAACTTCAACAATTAGTAATTTATTTATTTTTTTCTTTCAATAACAGAATTCAATGTAAGTTGCAGATATAGAGGAGTTTTTCATGTGGAAAAAAATGGTCGCTACAGTCTCACACGAACTGAAGCAGCTGACCTTTGCAGAGCTCTCAATAGTACCTTGTCAACACTAGAACAGCTGGAAAAAGCTCACGAACTTGGATTTGAAACTTGCAGGTAAAGAAACTATGAAAAATAATGTATCGTGTCTGTTTGGTTATCCGTCCATCCACTTATCCATCCATCTATCCAGTGTAATAATTACAGTTGATTTCATTCTAGTTGCTAATTACATGTCCATATCAGTCCTGAAGTAAGTTATATTATGTAACAAGCAAAACATCTTTGTGAATGTGTGTGCTTGCCCTGAGTCCTGTTATAAGTCCTTGACTGCATATTGTTTTTGCCATCTTGAGGAAATCATAACTTTCTACAGATAAAATCTAAATATAACTAAAGATTGAGATTATAATAAACTAATAAGAATGTTGTTCAGATCATACTGTACCACTGACACATGCAATACATGCAATGTATTTACAATTTTTAATGACCTGATGTAGGGTCGAAAACTGCAGATGGTATATACAGTATAGGAAACTCTGTCCTGTCAAGCAACACTAAAAAACATCAAATCAGTAGTGTGGGGAGTGAACTGCTGACTTGCAGTGAAAAACTGGTGATGGTGTTAGTGCATTCTTGTAATTTGTGTATAGATAAGTTTTGGTAGAGAGACAAAAACTACCCCCCAAACCACCCCACATACACACACACAAACCAATGTCAAGTGACTTAAATACCCTCTCTAATTAATGATTTGTAGGGAAACAAATGTGGATAATATGGACTCCTCAGTTTAGCAAAATATACACCTAAAGATTGGAAGTTGATCATAGATAATTTTTGACTCAAAAAATGAAGTGAACACTAGTATAACAACACTAGTACTAGTCAAAGATAATAAATTTTGGCTGAAACAACTTGTAAAGGTTGTAATCGATTCTTTGTCTAACCTAAACACCATCAAGATTCAATATTTTTTCCTAAGGATGCCATCTAGTTCACTCTAGTGCTGGCATAGTAAATATTCTGCAATGCAGAAAGCCTTTCCTGAAGTTAAAATGTAAACTTAATTGAAGAAAGGAGTAAAATGTAAAAAATGCAGCAGGGAGCTATAGTTTTTCATTAATGATTGAATTTCTCTCTACTTCACAGCTTAGCGGAGGACAGATTTGGACATGTAAGGCATGTAGGTTCTTCCCTCCCTCCCTTCCAGCCAGCCAGCCCACCCTCTTACTTTCATTTGCTGATCCTGTGTTAGAAGTCCTTGTCATTATGACTAGACTCTTATCAAGCTTGAGTTGGAGAGAAAAAATAAACTGCACATAATAGCCAAAATACGTGTGGAATGGTGAGTGAGTAAGGTGAATCAACAGACCGTAAGAGAAGAAGGTGATTAATAGATTATACAGTGTCAACATCGCAGGCTCAGTTGGAAGTGTAAGTGAAGTAGTTTATAATTCCACCTACTACAGAATTTTAGAACTGCAAGCATCTGCACATTAGGCATGCAACTGGAATGGTGCTCCCAACTTCAAAAGGACTGCCAAGCTATGAAATATATTTCTTCTGATAATTGTATGTCTTAATAAGTAAAACAAAAAGCAAACCAAATCCCAGTTTTGTTACTCTATCACCCCTCTCAGCTAAATATATTGGAATTAAACAGGTGTTGCAGGATTGCAAAATAGTACTAATGCATTGTGCTTTATGAAGCTCTGTTAACCACAGTCTTTGCTGAAATGTGTGAGCTCTGTACACAGTAGCCACATTGTTCCACTGAAAGAAACAGTAAGAACATGTGGATGAATGACTTGTATCTGAATATTTTCCTAAGGTATCTGCTTTATAGAAGGAAGAGTGTGTCATTCTCTAAATTTAATCAGATTCTATAAAATTGAGCCCCAAATATTTATGTGTGAAATGGCACTGATCAGTATGTTATGCTCAAAAAAGCAGATGAAAATAATGTCTTATTGGTATCTTCTTCATATTAGAGATATCTTGAGCATTTATGTTGTCTGCTATAGCATATAATGTGGTGTGTTTTCCTCTGTACTTCCCAGGTATGGTTTTGTAGTGGGGTATATTGTTATCCCACGAATCAATCCCTATCATCTTTGTGCAGCAAATCATACTGGAATTTATAAACTTTCAGCAAATACAACAGGCCGTTATGATGCATATTGTTACAATGCAACAGGTATGTATATGTTTTATGATGTATTTTAGATATATATCAAATTACAATAATATATGTAACTCCTAAGGTACTCAGATGAGGTCTTTTATATTAAATATCATCTGATCTTCAGCTGAGAAGAAATACATTTTGCCAGCCTCCAGAAGTGCATCTATAATACCAGCAATTAATTTGACCCATTTGGTCATTAGTGTTTCTCCAACTAAACAATTTGCTGCCTTGGGGACTAACTTAATAGCTTCACAACAGCTCATTACAACTATTTAGTGCAGTGAAACTCCCAACAGTGAATCTAAAAGATCCCAAAATTTACTAAAGGATTTAATATGAGGGTATGGCAGGCTACAGTGACAAGGCATGGGGCTTGGTCAGACAAGCATGCTGACCAACGCCTTTTGTAATACTTTCTGTATGGTTCCTCCTTTGTTCCTCCCATGTCCCCTTAGTCCTTACAATTTCTACAAATTCTGAAAAGCTAGGAGCTGGTGAGGATCATGGTTCTCATTTTCAGTGTATGCAATGGCTCTGGCAAATGATGTTCAGACATTAGGCAGTTAGGTGGTGATGCAGCCAAGAAGCAGACTGAAGGTTCTGAACTTTGTAATAGTTGGAAATATTTGATTATATTATTAGGAAAATGTAGATAATCTTGTGGCAGATGCTGAAAACAGTATTTCAAGATAAAATCTGGATTAACTTCAAGTGTCTTGAATTTCAATAAACATTTCCAATGTAAACAGACAGATCATACAGAGCTCAAAGCAAAACTCAGTGATGATCTAAATGACAGCGACATTCTTAGATTTTGTTCTTGGTGGTCATATCATTAAAAGCCATCTTTGCATTGGCATAGTGTTAGGTGAATCACCAGCCTCTGCCATCCAGGGTGGCTCTTTAGTGTACATCCCTACTGGAGCTTTATAAATACTTCCAAGTATTATCCCCTTCTGGCACTACAAGCAGGAGGTCACACAGTGGCCCCAAGCCTGGCACAGAAGACCACCAGGGTGAGCAGAGCTCACCAGACCAGGGCACACTCTTCCTGTGCAGAACCCCCATAGAACGGATGCAGTCCTTCTAGCTATAGAGGGACTATAATAGAGCTGCCGTGACGTTAGGGCTATGTGTATTGAAATGGCAGAGTAAGGCTATTTTCATGGACATTGATTGCAACTATTTTCTAGAACGGGTATGGAAAAAGGGAATGTCATAGTTAGTTGAGAAAGCAATCTGTAGTGCCCCAGCTGGGAAAGAAGAGAAGGAGGTCTCTTCCAACCTAGAAAATTCTGTGATTCTGTGAACATCGGTAGATCAGTGAATGAACTTCGATTTGGAAATTGTTTTTAAATGTCCAGATTTCAAGATGTCTTTCTGTGATTATGTATAGCTGTGGAAATTTTCTGGGAAGCTTTATGGACTGCCAGATAAGGAATCAAACCAAATGTCATCATCTTCAACTCTAGCTAAAAACATAATGCTTAGAAAAGGACAAAGTGACTTTTAGGAGTATTGGAGAAGTTTTCTAGCTAATTCATTTTGATAAATCTTTGAATCTAATTTATGTTGGTATACACTATACTTTTTCTCAATTTTCTTAAATTAATATTTTCTCTTTTTCCTTCTTTTTCAGAAACAAGGGACAAAGCATGCGAGCCAATTGAAAGAATAGACACTTCTTTTCTCAGTAATCAGGGTGAAATAGGTACTGTATTGATTAGAAAGACTTGCAATTTGTTTCATTTTCAGGATGATTGATTTAATACTAATGATTAAAATATTAATATTAATTATATCAATGATATTAATGATTAAAAGCATTAATATTACTTAACTTTAAATTGGTATTAATTTTAATTAATAAACTAATATTAATCCACAACTGTTTTCTGTATTTTTTTGGCTCTAGGAATTAAGCTATCATAACTGAAGTACAGCTATATAGCTCCTGGGTATTAATACCTGCCTAATATTCTCTTTCCTATAGTCATTGACAATGAAGATGGCTCACGTTATAATGCAGATGGCACACGTCATAGTGGAGACTCCTCAACCTCAGGTGTGGATGATGAAAATGTAGGTAGTGGATCATCACATGACACAACTCCAGTGGATACCTCCATCAGGAGATCCAGTCCCTCGTATTATGGAAGTGTTACTCCAGTCTCACATCTGTCAGATCATTCTTCTGGAGGAGGTGAAAAGGAGTTTCCTGTCACAAATTCTGGTAAGGATGGTGGGTTGCAACTATACCTCTCACAACAAAGTGAAGAATTACCTAGCTAGGTAAATGATATCAGGTAGGAATAGGAAGCACTGTCTCTAGTTTGTATCACTGGGAAGGGAAAGGAGAAAGGTGTGTCTCTGGGGTGAGGGGGAGGGGGATGAGGAAAAAGAAAAAAAAAATAAAGCTTTCTGAATTTCTACTACAGTATATTACAGAATGCACAGAGTGATAAAAATGTCAAATTAAATGTTATTAATACCTTCTTATTTTAGTTGATAAAGTCAAATTTTAATTTCCTGAAACCTTACCAAATACAAATGCCATACTCATTGCTAGGGCATTCAGCACAGTGGCAAATCAGTGAATTGGGGTGCCTTGCCGGTATTTTGCTTTCTTGTGAAGGTGATTTTTATTGTATTTCATCTTTTATATTGTGTGCGTAGCTGAAATTATCAGATGTCTAAAAGACTAGCTCCACTGAACCTAAGGGATAGAAACAGAGTTCATCCTCTAAGTGCAGTGATGTGTTACAGTGTGACTTCTGATTTTCTTTCAAAACACCAATAATTTAACAGTGAAATATAGCAGGGAAAAAAAGGCAAAAAATAAAAAAGGAGAAACAACTTATGCTTTTTTGTCGATGTAATTCACATCATGAAAGATAATTACTAACATTCTATTCCTGAGCAATTAGGATCAGATTCATTCCCTCAGGTGTATGCCACGTAGTTCAATTGCTTGCCATGACAATCCTTACCAACTCTGCTAACATTCAGAGTTTAGTTTTTTGGACTAAAACTCTGAAAATTGCTCAGTAGAAAGGGGAGTACAATTAACTTCACTTCTTGCTCTGGGTTCCTTGTACCGTCAGATGATACACAGGTACAGTTTGAGCTTGAATAACATGAAGAGATCATTGCCAGACATTTCATTACCACTGTAATATATGCTCCTCTTGAAATAATCTATTTTGGTGATAATCTTGCTGTGTTAGTAAATAAAGATATTTGGGGTTGAATTGTGTGAAGAACCTCCTCTATATCTTTCTTCTCCCTTGTGCTAATAAAAGAAGGAATGAAGTTTGCAATATAGAATAATTGATATAGTTGTGAGTAATGAGTTGCAGCTCAGATAATGAAATAGTAATCTTTCATCCATCATTATACAGATGATGAAATTTCTCCTACATCAACTGATATCTCTTTGGTAACGGGATTTGATGATTTCGCCAAAGAAGATGATGAACGGCATCGTGGAAGTACTAGTAAGATTTATGCATTATAATAACTACATCAGTTATAGATTGTATTAAATCTGCTTTCTTCTTTCAGCAGGGCTTTCTGGTAAGTGGTGAAATATACATTTTCTCCAATTTTGGAAAGACATTGAAAGACCCTACTTTAATGACTGATTAATTTAGAAATAAATTTCACTTTCTGGTGAAGTTATTTATTCGCTTATTTAAAGAGAGAAAGGGAGCCAAAACATTTGCTTTTTCTTTTCTTCAGTGTTTATACATTAACTCTGAAAGACTGCTGTTTGGCTTATTCTGTGTTTCCCACTGCCTTTTTATTACACATATTTATGAGGTACCACAAATCAGTGTAACGAATTATCGCTCAAAGTCACATTGTTCCTACCTCAGAGTTAGAAAAGGACATTGTTATCAATTTGTGGTAAAAGTACATCTGTGATTCTAATATTCTTATGGTTGTGAAAGTGGATAATCCATGTCAAAACGATGGCCTCACTCACCTAAACAATGCTATAAGTGATAGGTCCAGTTGCTAACCCACTTGTGTAATGCTAAAATTAATTTTGTTCTTGGTGGTGGCTGGATGCACAAGAACAATTTTGAGCCTGTGATGTCTCTGCAGGCTTTGAAGGCTCAGAAGAACATTAGTCAATTTCTGGGCTGAGTGGGAAAAACTGATGTGATGCTTTTATTGAATATGTGGTGCACAGCAGCTACAGCAAATAAAAACCTTTTGAAGTAATCTTATTTTTCTTAAAGTGGAACTGTACATGTATTTGCTCAATTTCTTGAGTTTGAAGTAATATAGATCTTTGCAACCAGCCAAAACAGGGAAAAAAAAAAAAAAAAAAAAAAAGGACATAGAAGAAGAACATTTGAATTTCACAGAGAAGATCTATAGAGGCATGATGGAAGGTTGTAGTCAAAAACAATAGAAATGAAAGTTTCTTCCTGCCAACATTTTTTTTCCCACCAGAGAAGCACATGATAGTGATGAGTTTGCTTGGTTTTTTTTTGGGTGCTGACAGGTAGTCAAATAGTCTATGCAACTTGGAGGGTCAGTGTCCTAGTTCCTGTTTTTAGAAATCACAGCATAGTGTAAGAATTATTATGTATTATGTATTGCAGTTAGCAAAAGCTTTACTTAAATACAGAAATCATTCAACAAAGCATCTCATCACAGAATGAATCTGAGAAGTTTAACACCTCTAAATATAAATGAAAAAAAAAAAAAAAGACATATATGTATCAGCATGATTTTTCCCCAAACTTTGAAAGCAAGTAGACAATTTTCTAAGTTTTGTTTCTAGTGTGAGTTTTTGCTTCAGAGTATTGCCTGAAAGGGGAAAAAAATCCCCTTTCAAACAAACAGTGGGGAGTTTGTCTCATTGACACTAATGGTGATTTCACATTTATTCGCCTTTGTATGCTTGTGTGACTTAATGCTTGCCTGTACAGATGTTTATTCACCCACTGCAAAAGACTGTTCATTGTTTCTAGGCAGCATTCTAGGAAAGTATTTGGTTTTGCTTTTACTACTTGATTTATCAAATATATTGATTCTAAACATTAATGTCCCTACCTGCTGCTAACAGTTCTCTATCATGGGCATGGTATTCTAAAGAAAAACTAGAGGTGTTTAACATTTAAAAAGATCAAATTAAGTGCAGAGATATGTAATAAAACTATCAATGCTGATATATCTATATTATATAGTGATAGCATTGGCATGATTCTTTATTGGGGCTGGCAGATTGATTTTCTAGTGAAAAAAAAGGGGGGGGAGGGTATGAAAGTACTGCACCTGAGATTTTCTGATAGCTTCAGCTATTGCTTAGCAACATCACTTTAAAACCAAACAGATTCATTTCATTTAATGTTACTGTACAATAAGCGAATGAGTAATTTAGCACTTTTTTCACAAGTTAAATATATGCTACCTATCTCCAAGAGAAGTCATAAAATACTCTATATCATAGGAGAAAGTTACAAGAAGAACAAACAAAAAGAGAAATTAAAGTCATGCCCCAGTGTCTAGTATTTACGTTGTGCAACATTGCAGGCTCATTGGAATATCCTGGCAGGAACTTAATATCCTGGAGAAAAATCCCACTGGCAAGAAAGTAGAAAATTAAGAAGCAAGTAAAAAAACTTCATCCCACTAGGCATCTATCTTCGGATAGATAGGTAAAAGTTTACCTGTCTAACTCTATAGTGTATGAATGTTAGACACAAAACCAGTGGCTATCCATCTATACTACACCTTGTTTGTAAACTTAAAGTCTGGTGAAAAGATGCCTACTACTATCAAAATAAGTCATTGCTATCGGCCTGAAGTAAGCAATTGTTACATCTCCTTGTTTTTCACATTACCATTTCATTATTGTTCTGACTGAGCATTATTGGCAATGTTCTCCATCAAGTTCACAGTCCAGATTAATACACTGCAAGCACTTTGCCACTGACATTCTTTATCTCTAAACTGAAACAAGCTTCTATTTGTTGCTAACAAGTTATGATTCATCTCCAGATGTGCCATGGATCCGATATCATAAAATTCTGTAGCTGATATGAGTTACTTCCCTGAGTTATCAGAGCTAGTTACTCAAACAATAACTGCGGCTGCTTTTGTTCATCCATCTACAGTAGACACTCCCATGCTGTACTGGATTTTTTTTTTATTTGGTTTGGAGCATTCTCTAAAAAATGTCATTCTTGGGAAAAAAAAAATCTTATGTCAATACTTTGGCTGATTTGATAGGAAAGCATCTGCACTGGTATTTTATATGTGGAAGGAAGCCATGTAGCCATATTCAAGCATATCCATATTCAAATAACTATGTTCCTAATGCTTGCTATGGAGAGCAGGTAGAGGTGAGAATTTTGCTGTGATTACAAGAAGTCAGATGACAATTCAAGGCAAAGTTTAATAGATGTAGAGATAAATAATAGTGATGCTTCTATTGAATGTTCTCTAAAAACACACTCAACTTTGGTTCATCCATAAGAATGGATGCCAGAACAACAACAAAAACATCTAGTCCCTCTAGTTCAAGAATGTGAATTTGGATGTTTCTAGAAATAATAACACCTAGATAGGAGTCAGATGATGGCTAATAAATATTTATTCGTTTGACATCTGTGACATAATTTCAGTATACAATCTCCCCTGACACATTTTAATAGCAGCTTTTCTTCCTGAAATAAACAGTGGATTCATCTCTTGAGATGTGCTAAAGACAGAAGATTCTCAGTCTATCATGTTCACCAGTAAGAAATGGAAGACATCTTAAAGAATGATATCAGACACTCTTTTCTATATAAAATCATGTGTTAATTCCTCAGTATAATCTGAAGTTTAAGAGGTACCAGAGTCCTGCAGCTCTGCTCTTCAGTTATTTTCTTGTTAAAAATTTTTTGATATTATCATTTTGATAATTTTTGTGCCCCAAATCTGAGCCCATTATTTATTTATTTCTTGATGTTCTGTTGCTCAGAGATCAGATTTTGAATGTCCAAGTCTCTGATTCTGAAAAACAAGCAAACCATCCTCTCCTTCTGCTCCCAGATGAAACTCCATCTGCACCTGTATTCAGAGTTTGAATTTTGTATCTAAAAATTGCCTCTTGTTTCTGTGGGAATGCCTTCTTTGGTAAAGGAGGTTTGATGGCTTGGTGTAGAATAGAAATAATAATAATAAAAAAAAAAAGAAATAAAAAAAAAGGGTAGTACTTTGAAGATTTTGCTTTTTTTTCATTCAATATGTGTATGACTTAAAGCACAGCTCATATTGTAAGCTTTTTTTTTCACTTTATTGCTGAATAATGTTATTAGGAGGGAGAAAGGTTAAGTTATCATCTGGCTTGCTTGAGAGATTTCATTCTTGGTGTGCATGCCCTTATTAGCTCTGTATGCATTTTGTTAAAATATTAGGACATATATTATATATAGTGCATATTTTGACCTGTTGCAGCAATTAAACCTATGCAGAATTCATTGACTTTGCTGGACTATCAGAGCTAGTTACATAATCTTATACTTTAGTAGAATGATTCAATCTTCTCTTACACTAATATGTATATATATATATATTTACTATTGTAGGAATGTAATGATACCACAGGTTCATACATTCCCTTTCCACTCACATCCATCTTGGTAGCATGAGCATGTTCAGGGTGCTGGTGCTGGTGGACTTTGATGGAGGAAATGTGCCTCTCAAAAAATAACAAATTCTTGGTTCAATGAACCATGTCCTAACAGCTCCGGGGCCTCCTCGTGTTCACCTGGAGAAAACTACCACCCAAACCTGGTGGAATCCATTTTCAAACGAGTGGTGGTGGTCAAATCCCAGAGAGAAGACACAAGAACCCACACAGACAACAAGGGGTAAAGAGCATCATTATAAGACAGTGCTTTGTTTAAGGGCTGAATAACCATAGTTCCAAGGCAGAAAGCTGGAGAAGCATTAAATGGAGGGGGTTTTCAATTGGAAGTACTTTTCTGCTTTTCATTGCAATGTGTTGGAGAGAGAAAAGTGAAGTACAGGGCTCTGCCTGGTTGACTGTAGGTATGGTAGCAACAGAGCACTTGTTCAGATCAGTCATGAGTTGCATATCTCAGAGGGGTGAATGCGTGAGCCATTTAGTAAAGGATATACTCAAGTCTTTCACTTTTAATTTTTGAAAATACTTTAGATGCAGATTGTTTCAATGAGGAAGACTTATGGTAGAAATGAAGAGAATATTTTACAGTCAGTACCCTATGTTTACTTGGGTACAACGAGCCAGAGCTCAGTTACTTTATTGCCTCCATAGGGCACTGCAATGTAGATAACAACTACGTTAGGGTGGCTTCGGCAGGGCCATGGCAGGGTGATGGATCTCTCCTGTGGGAGGAAGAACCAGTAGGAGATACAGTCTGTGGCAAGCACGGTGCTGTTCAGCCTCCGCAGTGGCAGTGGGCTGCATGCAGGGGAGACAGCAAAGCATAACTGCTGCCAGTAGAAGGCCTTGCGGGTTAAGGCTTCATGGCAGATTTAACATCACCACAGCAGATGTGACCTCAAGCGGCAACGGTTCGGATGATGAAGACTCTTCAGAGGAGACAACTTACCCTACGGTGTTTCCAGGATGGGATATAAGTGTGGCCAAGAAAGAGTATGCTCCAAGTACTAGTAAGGAACTTCCCTTCTCTTTGGATGTCTTGTTTTTGGGTTTGGGGTTTTGCGTTTTTGGCTTTGAGTGTTTGCGTTTTCTTTTTTTTTTTTCCCTTTTCTACCCAATGATCCTTTTCCTTCACCAAACGAGTATCGTGTAAAGGGGTAGCTGCTCTTCTGATTGGCTCTTGTTTCAGAGATCTTTCCTGTGCCACAGGAAAAGCTGATTTTGAACTTGTGAGGTTCCAGTCCTTAGAAGGAACTTCTTCCAGTACTACTGGAATTTATATCTTGTTTTCACATACATTGGATTTCTGGGCTTCCTGTGTGGGTCTTTGTGTCCTGAGGAAAAATTCCTTTTTGGAGGGAAATTCCAGCCTCTACACATGATGCTCAAGTAGTTATGTTTGCATGCATATACCTATTTGGCCTGCCTTGCACAGCAAAGGAAAAGAGTGTAAGCCCTGTAATTTCTCTAGGGGAAAATCTATTTCCATCCTTAAATGTCTGTCACAAGCTATGGGTCAATACTATTTGAAATGCTGTGTTCTGAGAAAAAGTTGTGCAGGGGTAACATAACAGAGGTAAAGCTGTGTCTCTGCAATGTGCTGATGCCTTCCTCGGAAGTGTTTCTGGTGTACTTCTTACTGATTCCAGCTGGCTACGGGGAGTGCATGTGTCTTTCAAGCAGAATGGCCATTCTTCTGAGCCCAGGTCTCTGGTAGCGTTAGCTTCACAGGGTTGTAAGAGGAAGCAAAGGCAAAACTAATGGGTGTGCTTGTTTCTGGGTATCCTTTTCACCTGTCGTGGATGCTTCTATCACCTTTTGTGCCTGATTTTGTGTCAAGTCTTGGTGGATGTTCCGTGTGCTGGAAGTTACCTCGGCCTATCTGTTCTCTCTTGCTGGCACAGCCTGTGAGGAACTCATTAACCTCGTAGAACAGCAAGAACAGATTCACGGGGCTTTGTGATGACTCCTCTCAAGGGACTGTGTTCTGTCCTGGGACTGCCACTAGTTCTTTCATCTGGCTAAGTGTCTTAGGAATGTAATGATACCACAGGTTCATACATTCCCTTTCCACTCACATCCATCTCAGTGGCATGAGCATGTTCAGGGTGCTGGTGCTGGTGGACTCGACTTTGATGAAGGAAATGTGCCTCTCAAGAAATAACAAGTTCCTTGTTCAATGAACCATGTCCTAACAGCTCCGGGGCCTCCTCATGTTCACCTGGAGAAAACTACCACCCAAACCTGGTGGAATCCATTTTCAAATGAGTGGTGGTGGTCAAATCCCAGAGAGAAGACACAAGAACCCACACAGACAACAAGGGGTAAAGAGCATCATTATAAGACAGTGCTTTGTTTAAGGGCTGAATAACCATAGTTCCAAGGCAGAAAGCTGGAGAAGCATTATATGGAGGGGGTTTTCAATCAACAGTACATGTTTCTGCTTTTCTGTATTATGTGTTTGAGGAGTGAAAACCTAAATTTTGATTTCTTTCTGAGTCTGTACTTTTGGTAGTGGCAGAGGACACTGTTTCACCTGAGGCTAGCAAATATACTGAGTAGGTAGTACACCTCTGAAAAGGAAAATAGTTGAATTTTGAAGATCAGTCTGGTAGTTTCAACGAATAGCAGTGTTAAAAAAAATATGTATCTGTTGATATAGAATGGAAAGTATATGCTGTACTGAATAGAAAACGAATGACTTACTATTTCATAAACTACTTACAGTACTATTAGAATAGTGCTTATAACAGTGGGAAATGCCTGTAAAAAAAGGAAGAGACAATAAAAGATATCTCTGGTTATACCAACAAAATAGACTAGATGGGAAATATTTAAATTTCTATTGACTTCCTGTTTTTATTAAGCAATGAAAGCTGTGTAAAAAAAAAAAGGATGAAGCATTAATTTAATTCTAAAAAGATATCATTCATATGATCCCAGATCTCTCTTGATTAAAATTTACTAAAATTATCTTAATTGTTAGTCTTTAACTTTGATAAGACATGTCAGGGATCAGTTAGTGCTGTGACCCTCCATTGGGCACTGCAGTGTAGAAAACAGCTATGTTAGGATGGCTTCAGCAGGGCCATGGCAGGGTGATGGATCACTCCTGTGGGAGGAATGACCAGTAGGAGATATAGTCCGTGGCTAGCACGGTGCTGTTCAGCCTCCGCAGTGGCAGTGGGCTGCATGCAGGGGAGACAGCAAAGCATAACTGCTGCCAGTAGAAGGCTTTGCGGGTTAGGGCTTCATGGCAGATTTAACATCACCACAGCAGATGTGACCTCAAGCGGCAACGGTTCAGATGATGAAGACTCTTCAGAGGAGACGACTTACCCTACAGTGTTTCCAGGATGGGATATAAGTGTGGCCAAGAAAGAGTATGCTCCAAGTACTAGTAAGGAACTTCCCTTCTCTTTGGATGTGTGTTTTGTTTTTGTTTTTTGTTTTATGTAACAAATCTTATGGTCCTCCTCCTTTACTGCATGTACTTTGCCTAAAGAGTGGACACTCTTCTATCAACTCTTACTCATGAATGTTCCCTTTTCCATTGGAAACCTCTTGTAAGACCCATATTAGTTGAATAGATATCTGTTCTATCATTACTTAAAATTAACATCACAGTTTTATCCCTATTTGAACACATTCATTCATTCATTTTCTTCCTGAAAGACATGTTTATCATTTTGCATAGTACCACAGTGATGATCTGATAACTCTTTCTTAACTAAAAAGTCATCCATAGCTAAAATAAATTTTCTTTTAAAACCAGAAGATCTCCACATATGAGGCTTGAAGCCAAATGCTGTGTTCAATGAAGCACCTCATAGGTGCTACTTGGCCTCATGACCAGGGAATGTCCCCCACCCTCAGGCATTTCCATTTCCTTTTTTTTTTTTTTTTCCAGTATATATTTTGTCATTGATAACCATACTACATGGCTTTCATTTGTTCAAATATAATAACTTGTTCCTTTTTTTTTTTTTTTTAATTGAATGTAATTTAATATAATTTAAGCACATCTTAATGTCTTCTATTCTATGCACTTGTGCACTCAGTAGTGTAAACAAATCTGTGCATCTTACTTTTTTTTCTGAATGCAGTGGAGGATTTTTCTGTTTGATTTTCAGCAGTAGTCTTTGTTATTAGAGGAACATACAAAATGAGCAATTCAACTTGCTTAGGGATTTTTATTCTTTTGCCTACATTTTAGGTTTTTCTGGTATTAATTTCTTTAGCTTTTACTCTCTGCATTTTACTCTCTGACTTATTCCACATAGCATATAATGTTCAAACAAACTCTATGGCCTAGTGGTGTCTGCATGTTCCCCAGGTGAAAATGTGTACAATCTCTGGTCATAGCTTCTTGTAGCAGTTTTATTTTACCAGTTCAATCTGGTAAAATCTATAACTTTCTTGACTAATATTGGCTTTCTATTGGCAGTCATGGTGCTTTCAGATTTTTGCTGATTACTTCTGTTGAGCTCTGTGGATATTCTAACATGAATCTCAGTACTTGAGTACTTAGCAAGCATGTTTTACATGTACTCAGGCATCTACTATATTCTTTAGGTAGAGCATTATTCTTCAAACTAGAATTTAAATGTCTGTAACTTCTGTAATAGCCCTGCACTACTTCTGCTGTACATTATTCTTCTATTGCTTTTCCCCCTTATTCTTGGGAAACTTTGCATCTGTCTGATACAAAGAATAAAACCTAGTGGTTTGATATAAAGGGATTTGATATGAAGAGTAGTGAGACTATGATCCATTTATGCATGAATTTCCATAATCCATTATCTTTATGGCACACAATAACAGTAAAGTAATAATGATAGACGTACAGCATGATCAGCATTGAATCCTCCATTGTCCTAACAGCTATGGACTTGCAACATGGAGTGCTTCTGGAAATCTCCACACAAGATCCTTGGAACCCCTCTTATACAGATGAAGAGGAGCAATATCCTAGCTCTGCGGGCAGGGGTAAAGCAATTTAGCATTTCAGATAATAGTCAGATTTATGACATAATTCAATGAAATATAACTCACTTATGGTGCAGCTGATTATAATTCCTATACTATTAGCTTCAGTTATACATTATTTGTGCTAGAGCCCTCAGAGGTGGCATCTGTAACATTCATCTACCATTCCAAATCTATCTTTGACAACTGATCTTCATTACTTGCCACTTTTCCCCATGTCTCCAGGGTTTTTAAACTTGCACTGCTAGTAGTACAATAAAACCAAGCAGATTGCAATGTGTAACATTTTGGTGACCCAACTTGGTGAGGAAAAAAAAATTCCCTTTTTAACTACAAAATTCCTATCGTAAAATCTGAAGACAAAGAAGAGGAAGGGAGCTGGTGATTCAGAAACATAAAGGTTAGATTAATCATAACTTCTCGGTTAAATCAGGCCTCCTGAACAATAAGCTCTTGTCAGGTACAAATATGATCAAATTCAGTAGTAACCTCCTACTCTTTCCATTGTTTAGTACACATGTAAAACCATAAGGCTACTTACAGAAACATTTAGGGCAATATTTGAAAATTATGTAGGTGGAAAATCTGCAGATATAAAGCTTGGATCAATTTAAGTAAATTAATTAGTTTGGGATAATAAGATAATGCTGGTAGTATACATTTGGCAAAGTTAAAAAATTATCCAGCTGAAGTTAAACTGGTCTTCAAGACACAAAGGGCTCAGCCTAGGATCCGTTACTGCTAAGGATTCATTCTGAGTGGAAGAGTAAACATTACATTCCTAACTGTGCTATGAAGGATAATACTACCTCCAGACAAATGTGAACTTTTTCCTACCAGTGTTAGTGCCAGCAGCCAACTGTGCTGTTGAAAACGTTCTCACATTCTTCAAGCCTAAAAACCTCTGTGCGCAAAGGCCTATGGAGTGCATTCTCCAGCTATTTTTGTTGTGTACATAAATAGTCTCCAGTAATTTTTTTTTAAAACATAGTTGAATATGAACTTCATTTTTGGCTATACCCTGTTAAAGTGAAGGGCAAAACTGAATAGCTGAAGGCACAGCTTTCTGCAGCTGGATTAGGGGCTAGTCTTGTAATTGCATAAAATTAGATTGCACTGAAAATAAATATATTTCAGGTGGACTTGTGGAAAGCTTTCTTATCCCTCTGTAAAAACAGGCATTTTCTACTTACAACAGTAGTTCTTTGGATTTATATGATCTGCCTCCAATGGCTAGGTACAATTCTTTGTGATCCTGCGGTTTTTGGGAGCACTGTAATGTTATCCAGGTGACACAGGGCAGAAGCTATAATCACCTAGAAAGAATTTCTGTGAAAAGTTTCTTTTAATTCTGAAGCATTGTTAAATTAGTTGTATTAATACACTTCTTAATTTTAACATATAGTCCTACTGGATGCAAATTCAGCACCAAATATTACAGGATAATCTCTCTATATATTTGTTTTAATTACAAAAATAATGAATTACATTTGCAAGAATGATCTCCTTGTGAACATTTCATCATTTGAAATGTGAAGATATATATTCCTCCATTTCTGCTCTTCTAGGAAAATGCTTAGCATAGGTTTCTTTAGCAGGTGACTAAGTGCATATGTAACAGGTCCAATTCATTCTTTGCATCCTCTGGTAAAGGGTCTTTATTTTACCTTTCATGTATCCATGTATCACTCATGGAAATGTTTGCTACTTAATGCATTTTTTTTAATTGGGTTCTAATATTCATCTTACTGTTACAAGTATTCTTATTTTTATTTTATTTTATTTTTCGGCATATCTTTTTCTAAGACTTCTACTGTTTATTAGAAAATCTCTTATGGTGGTGGTATTTCAGATGACTTTTGACTGCATTTTCTGCTGTGTAAACAGCAAATTCAACAGCAAGCAATTAATTTATTTTAGGTGTAATTATTACTGAGTTCAAAGCTAGTATGCTTTTCAACCTCAAATATACAAACGTGTTTATTTTCTCCATCCCACTGAATATTCTTTCAGTCCCAGAAGGAATGACAATTTCCTTGGAGAAAGGAATTCCTTGCCTTGCAATTGTGTAATTGAGATATTAACTCAAAAGAGAAAGTTCATCATCTCTTTCACTTTCATAAACCCAGAATCTGCAGACTCAACAGTTATGTTAGTATTAATAAATACGAAGTAGAGATGCAAGTTGGTGTTCCCTATGTGTTCTTCCACTGCTTTTCCTATAGCTTTTCTCTGCCATTGGTCATTGGGATACTAAATCTTCCTCTGTTCCTGGTGGAGCTTCTGTGTTCAAAATGAGCTTCGGTTTCCAAAGCAGCTTTGCTTCCTTTCATCTTTTACACCAAATGCAACAATTAAAAAAGAAAAGCAAAACAAAATCCAGCCTTACTGCGTAGACCATGAAGATAAGGATAATATGACTGGTGTTGGGTATTTTGATCATTATTGATTCAATCATCATCTTATCAGCACCAGTTACAAGTGAAAATGAAAAGCATCAAGGACCAACCCAACATCCACTGTTACACAGTGCTCATTCTGGATGGATCAGTCAAGCACAAAACCCTGCAAATACAACTGGGAGTACTGAACATCAAGAATTTACTCTTCCAGGTGAAAATGATATTGAAAAGAAAACTTCTTATACAGGTAATACTACAGGTCAGATTTTAGTAAGTTATCAGGGTTTACTTAAGGTTTAATTTCAGAATGTTTTTACTAACAATTTTGCAATCTGAAGCCATATCAGATGTTCTGTGAACAAACCTGAGCAACAGGAATCTGCAGGTTGCATTCTATACATATATATAAAATCTGTTATTCAGACTCGGTCCTGGAGGTTTGTCTTCTCTCTCATTTGGACTGTGTGTCAATACCTATAGTGGATTAATACTGCAATTGTCTCCTACATTTTGTGTTCTATCACATGCAGTCACAACTCTTTACCAGGCTATCTACCAGGCTTATATCTGTAGGAAACAGTAAATGTTTAAATAGAAAGATAATAATGTCTGTTGCATTTTTTGCATATTTGAGAGCTGTGTTCACACCCCTCTTGAAAGCCATTATTGGACCCGTTTTTTTACAGTTTTTGTTAAATCAGCAATTTTAACTCAAAAATAGTATCCAAAATATCTACTCACTCCACTTTTGAAATCTGACTAGATTATACTGAAGTAAAGAAAAAAGAAGCATACTGTAGAATAAAAGAGAGGCTTCTCCCTTCCATCAGTCTAATAAATTGAAACAAAAGCTTCAATTCTACTGTAAAGCCAGTAACTGAAAACTGATAAATATTAGTTGATGTTCCTGCGTGTGTTTGTCTAGCTAATGACTGATGTGCTATACTAAGCACTGCCAACAGTCATCATCTGTTCTTACTGATTATCAAACACAGACCAATGAAGACAAGTACATCATAGACATTGTTTGGGATGCCGTATCATGTGCATATATTCCTTCACCTAAATCTAAGCAAAAGTTTAAGGTAGCTCACTGCTTTAGCAGTCCCCAAGCCTACATTCTTCTAAGATATCAACTCCAGGTGCTTCATCAACATCCTTTAAAAATCTGGTGATGCAATGCAATATATTACTGATAGATATATAAATATTATATTACATTATTATAGCAATATAATTTGGCCTAGTAGCAATTTAATTTTTTACTTCCTATGGTAATTTTCTTTTTTTATTTATTTGTTTGGTTTTTATTAGGTTGGAGGTGTTTTTAATAGGGGATAAGTTAAGATTTGGGTACTCTTTAGTTGTGACTATCTAATAAAAGCTACAGATTGCTTAATATGCAAAATATTTTATATTTCTATATAATTGCTATATCAGATATCTTCCAGTCAATTGTTCACTCATATACTACGTGCATCATTCACAAATCTGCATCTGTGAACCTTCCCTGCTGCCAGACTTGCTTTTTTATTTTTTCTGGAGAGTCTAATAAAATAGTGACACTTCGAGGGGGAAAAGTTGGATATAGTCAATACATTCAAATTCTGTGATTAAAATCTTACTGGTGGATCAGTTTCTTCCAGTTATTTCTGCCTTTTTTGTTCTTATGCATCAGTGGATTTTAGTTTGATATTCAACCAATACGAAGTCATGAAAAGCAAGACTCAGGGAAATACTTTTGGAAATCAATGAGGTATCTTGATTCTGAAAAGCATATGCTCAGTTTGAGGAAGGATTCAATCCTGTTGGTGATGGTAGGCAGCTTTTCTAAACATAAACCAGAATGAGAAGCAAAACTGCTTTACTTCTCTTTGCCATTAAATGTAGTAGACATGTGAGCAAGGCCTGTCATAGAGACAAGAACCGAAGAGGAGAATAATATGAGAAATGGATCTTTATATACTGAGTTCATAATTGCTTCACCATCATCATAACAGCTATGGCCTCCAGTCATGGGGCCAGACAGAATGACTCAGCGCAAGACCAATTGGTGTATCCAGGCTGGGACAAGGGAGAGGATTATTCCACACAAGCCCCTGTAATGGATAGAGTTATTCCTTCCAGAGAAAATAATCATGAAAAAGAGTCTTCCAATACAGGTACTATTAATAATATCAGCTCTGCATATTTCATCACTTCTTTCTCTCTGGTGGCAAGTTTTGAAACAACATTGCATGACTGTAGAGAGGAGTGGTTTACTGATCTCTTTAGGACAGTGACATAACCTGCCTGAATGGTGGTGAGATTTTAGCTCTCTAGAAAACATTTATCTTATACTTACCAGTAACACATCTATTGCTTTCTGTTCTTCAGTTAAGCATGACTGTGGAGTTGCATGCAGTTCAGTACATACATGTATGTTATATTAATTTGTGTTGCCAAAGAGTTATTACCATAATGTTGAATTCATAATTATGTTACTTGTATCTAAACAAGTTAATGCTTTTAATCTGTGAATAATGATCTGGTAGAAGAGTGTTCTTTTCATAGATTTTTGAAAAACATCCATCACTCTGGTTCACAGAATTATGAGAGAAAGGAATTTAGAAATCTGACATGACACAACTCTACCACTGAATTTATGATGCAGCTTGGTATAGCACATACCATTTATGCCATTGAAGTATATTCCAAAATTATGATATGAGAACATAATTTGTTTATACTAAAATAAGAGGAAGTGTAACTTTAACCGTTTCTCAATCAGACACTCCTCAGAATCTATTTTTAATTTTGTGAACAAAGTAATTCTGATAATTATAATCCTTCGGTAATTCCAAAATATGAATTTCATTTTGAGAAGAAAATTGCTCTTACTACTGCCATAAACAGGATAACAAATTAAAAGCACTTTTTGTAACTTGTCACTACTCACATAGTCTTAAGCAACAAAGGGGCATCAATGGTTGTAGAATGGGACCTTTACTGTCACTGCTGATATCTGTAAGGTAAAATACACTGTATCACCACTGGACAGTGGTGCTGAAGCTCTGTGATCAGCCTGAGATACAGGGCAGGAATTATCCTGACCTCTCTCCATGGCCTTTCACTGCATCCACTGTCCTTGGGACTCTTTTGGATTAAGTCATGAAGTGCATGTGAATAACAAGCAAAAAGTTCTGTTCAAAATGTTGAGACAGTGATGAGGATGTACAGGGGGCAAAAGATCCCTCATCTCCCCCTCTGTGGTATGAAAAGCATAGCAGTGGTTTAAGGTGAATAGGAGACTTGAATATGATGGGTATATGAGGGGCACAGCAGGATGCATGTTGAATTCACAACTGATTCAACCATCATCATAACAGCTCTTGCCACTCCTGACGGTGCTCATCATGAAGACTCAACTCAGCCACCTCTGTCTTCAGACAATGAAGTAGGATGGGGCACTGAAGGCATCACACATTCCACAGATGCCCCTGGGGGTGAGGTCCTCCACGGGCTGAATCCTGCTAGTACGAATGAAGCTGGAGATGACTCTCTCCTGACGGGTACCAGTAAGAATAATGGATCATGCTCATTTCTCACGTGCTGTGTGAAATGAGGCATTATTTCTTCTGATTTTGATGCCTTTCACTACCTTTCTCATCTTGGGGATCTACAACCCTATTGCGGACTTGCAACCCAAAAACTTCCTGTGGTGGGATCTGTGCTGTTATTAAAACAACCTTCTGGAGTGGTTGCAGGGGACTTCTTCCTGGTACATTTGGTGGTTTCTGGTCTTTGCTGAAGCACGTTGCCAGGTGGCCTCCTGTCTCTTCTTATGCATGTCATGTGCCTTGATGATCCCGAATTCCCAGCCCCATCCTCCCATATTATGTGTCGGTGGGGTCAGGCTTGGTATGCTTTGGTGCTGCGATTGGTGTGGTGGAGGTGCTCTGGTGGACTTAATTGAGTGATCTGCTCCTGTGACTCAGCAGTGACACCATCACCAAGGAAGACTGTCCTGATGGTGAGAGCAGAGCATTCACACAAGATTTATATCCCGTTAATTCTGCCTTCCATTCCTTACTCCTCACTAGGGGAGTCACAGGCACAACACCACAGATCGGGCTGTGGTATGGCTGCTCACTCCTGAGTTACAGGGTCAGGTTTTAGCTGCTGTGGTTTCTTCTTCTGAAGGTCTTCCCTCTCCATCTGTCACTGGGATACATGGGTACAGCCAACATCTCCATCCAACATGACAAACAAGTTGTGTTTAAGTGTCTCAAAAGCCAGTGGCAGCGTGGAAGAGGAAGGGGAGGCCTTCTGCTCATCCTTCTCCTGCCGTGCTTTAAACCAGGCAGAAGGACATCCTTTCTGCCTTGCTGTGATACCAGAAAGAGGGCAATAAGATGGGTGGTGGTTTGGTGGGCATTAACGTTTAAAGCTGATCGTGCCATCGTCATGGCAGTCACAGAATCCATGGATGCTGTCAGCCGGGAGGAAGCTACCAAAGAGCCGTTGGCACCCAGCGCTCAGCCTGGAAGTGAAAGTGAACAAGCAAATACCACAGACGGCTCTTATGTCAATTTGGTACCTGGAGTTTTTTCAGACATTGATGATCATCACAATCAGTTACAGACCCTTCTTTCTACGAGTAAGGCATACAAATTAAAAGCACTTTTTGTAACTTGTCACTACTCACATAGTCTCAAGCAACAAAGGGGTATCAACGGTTGTAGAATGGGATCTTTACTGTCACTGCTGATATCTGTAAGGTAAAATACACTGTATCACCACTGGACAGTGGTGCTGAAGCTCTGTGATCAGCCTGAGATACAGGGCAGGAATTATCCTGACCTCTCTCCATGGCCTTTCACTGCATCCACTGTCCTTGGGACTCTTTTGGATTAAGTCATAAAGTGCATGTGAATAACAAGCAAAAAGTTCTGTTCAAAATGTTGAGACAGTGATGAGGATGTACAGGGGGCAAAAGATCCCTCATCTCCCCCTCTGTGGTATGAAAAGCATAGCAGTGGTTTAAGGTGAACAGGAGACTTGAATGTGATGGGTATATGAGGGGCACAGCAGGATGCATGTTGAATTCACAACTGATTCAACCATCATCATAACAGCTCTTGCCACTCCTGACGGTGCTCATCATGAAGACTCAACTCAGCCACCTCTGTCTTCAGACAATGAAGAAGGATGGGGCACTGAAGGCATCACACATTCCACAGATGCCCCTGGGGGTGAGGTCCTCCACGGGCTGAATCCTGCTAGTACGAATGAAGCTGGAGATGACTCTCTCCTGACGGGTACCAGTAAGAATAATGGATCATACTCATTTCTCACGTGCTGTGTGAAATGAGGCATTATTTCTTCTGATTTTGATGCCTCTCACTATCTTTCTCATCTTGGGGATCTACATTCTTGTTGTAGACTTGCAGTGCAAACTGATTTATAATTCTGTTGCATGTGAACATCCAAACAAGAAATGCTATCCATTAAGACTGCTTTTTCCTGGGTGTACTGTTTCTTATGCCCTCCATTTTTTTTTCAATTTAAGTTTTAGTGGAAGGTGATACAGAGAAAATTATTATTTTATTTTTTTTCGAGGTAAATGAATTGTATGTTTAAAAACAGTTTTTCATGTCTATTCATCCCTGGTTTTAGGATCACCACAGACACCATTAGTACAGTAAATTTTAAAATAACTTACTACAGTTCATGAAGATCTACAAGGTTCAATTCCTATTTTATGTATGGTATCCTATTGAGTTATCCACCATCACAATATTGAATTTTTATCCTAAAATTTTAGTTTTTAATACTGGATTTTTATGATGTTTTAGTGCATTTGAAATGTTACATCTCTCGTATTTTATTAAGAAAAATAAAACTCTAAGGGAAAAATTAAAACTTATGCTTTCCCTTTTCAACTTCCATTTTCTTCAGGATTCCTTTAAATCACAACTCCTGGGATTTTCCAAAGAGCTATGAAAACCAAAACTTGTGTTGATAAAAAACAGTTCTTTTCTCTACTTCCTCCTTTTGTTTTCCAAGAATGGAAACGATCATATAAAGCTTCACTGTTTATTGTCATCAGCTTGTTAAGCTCTATGTAGTTCAACAGATCAATTACAAATGAAACAAACAAACAAAAACATACAAACAAACAAAAAAACACAACAGGATTTGACAATCTATTTAAGTGCTTGTAAGTGCTTTCTAACAAGTCATTCTAATCTTATTCCTATGTAATGATAGGAATTCTAATACACATTCCATTCTGAAAATAATATGATTTTTCTCCCTTCTAAATAGTTGTTAGTAGATATTTTCCAAGATAACATTTTAGGCTCCCATTGTTTGGAAATGCATGTTTTGGTGTGTCATTTTGTTTCACAATGTTAATTTTCAGTGCTGTAATTTTGCATGTATATTAGCCTTTATTATTCTATTCATATTTTGGAGCATTTGCAATTACTGCAAGGGCATTTAGTTAGGCTATGCTATTTTTGCGTGTTTTTTTGACATCCGTACTTTTTCATCAGCAGCAGTCTCTTTAGAGAAGAGCACCATATGAGTGATTGTGGGAAGGATGTTAATTAAAAAAATTATTTCCTTTATTTTCCATTAGAATTCATTTTGAATTCGTCTGTTGGGAGACCAGCATGCATTCTTATGATAATCTCATGGAAAAGCAGAGATGAAAAATACACTAGAAAGGAGATTTTATTAGATTGATGATGATGATCTTAATCTTAAATAATCAGGTAGCTATAGCAGTAGCTGCTATCTATTCTTTAAATAGTTTTTATATACTTCCAAGATCACTGATATTTGGGGAAATGAGTAAGCAAATATTCAAATAATCAATAAATCATAGTTAAAGGAATAGATAAAAAATAATAATAATAATAATGACAGATACAGATCTTGTTTGCTTGCCCCAACCCTTCCCCAAGGAAAAGGCAGACTTTATTAAATGAAATAAAAAGAGAAAAATTGATGAGGTGGGATTTTGCAAATATGTTTGAGGTTAATTTAGCCATCATCACATCACAACAGCAACAGCCAAAATTGATGTTCTGGAACCAGCGGATGTAACCCAGGAAGTGTGGACACCTCGAGTCATCATAACAGCTCTTGCCACTCCTGACGGTGCTCATCATGAAGACTCAACTCAGCCACCTCTGTCTTCAGACAATGAAGTAGGATGGGGCACTGAAGGCATCACACATTCCACAGATGCCCCTGGGGGTGAGGTCCTCCACGGGCTGAATCCTGCTAGTACGAATGAAGCTGGAGATGACTCTCTCCTGACGGGTACCAGTAAGAATAATGGATCATGCTCATTTCTCACGTGCTGTGTGAAATGAGGCATTATTTCTTCTGATTTTGATGCCTTTCACTACCTTTCTCATCTTGGGGATCTACAACCCTATTGCGGACTTGCAACCCAAAAATTTCCTGTGGTGGGATCTGTGCTGTTGTTAGTACAACCTTCTGGAATGGTCGCAGGGGACTTCTTCCTGGTACATTTGGTGGTTTCTGGTCTTTGCTGAAGCACGTTGCCAGGTGGCCTCCTGTCTCTTCTTATGCATGTCATGTGCCTTGGTGATCCCGAATTCCCAGCCCCATCCTCCCATATTATGCGTCGGTGGAGTCAGGCTTGGTATGCTTTGGTGCTGCGATTGGTGTGGTGGAGGTGCTCTGGTGAACTTAATTGAGTGATCTGCTCCTGTGACTCAGCAGTGACACCATCACCAAGGAAGACTGTCCTGATGGTGAGAGCAGAGCATTCACACAAGATTTATATCCCGTTAATTCTGCCTTCCATTCCTTACTCCTCACTAGGGGAGTCACAGGCACAACACCACAGATCGGGCTGTGGTATGGCTGCTCACTCCTGAGTTACAGGGTCAGGCTTTTGCTGCTGTGGTTTCTTCTTCCGAAGGTCTTCCCTCTCCATCTGTCACTGGGATACATGGGTACAGCCAACATCTCCATCCAACATGACAAACAAGTTGTGTTTAAGTGTCTCAAAAGCCAGTGGCAGCGTGGAAGAGGAAGGGGAGGCCTTCTGCTCATCCTTCTCCTGCCGTGCTTTAAACCAGGCAGAAGGACATCCTTTCTGCCTTGCTGTGATACCAGAAAGAGGGAAATAAGATGGGTGGTGGTTTGATGGGCATTAACGTTTAAAGCTGATCGTGCCATCGTCATGGCAGTCACGGAGTCCATGGATGTTGTCGGCCGGGAGGAAGCTACCAAAGAGCCGTTGGCACCCAGCGCTCAGCCTGGAAGTGAAAGTGAACAAGCAAATACCACAGACGGCTCTTATGTCAATTTGGTACCTGGAGTTTTTTCAGACATTGATGATCATCACAATCAGTTACAGACCCCTCTTCCTCCTAGTAAGAAGTATAAATTAAAATGGTTTTTGTTTTTCCATGTCAGTTATCGTTTGGGACAACGATGATTCCCTGAAAGTATTTGCACTAAACAGGGTTTTCAGTTATGCTCATAATATAATTTGATTTTTTGGTTATTATTGCTTTTGGCTTTTCTAGATATTTTTATGATCCACATCTAAGATGCCATGAAAGGAAATCTTTTTCTCTGCAAAGCAGAGGACTTTTGCCAAATGACTGAAAATAGTGTTTTGCAAGTAACTTTTTCTTACATTTTACTATCTGTATGTGACAACATATCTCATAAAATGAAAAAGCATAAGCTTTTTCCCCATGCTAGCAATTTTCTTCCTATTTGACGGTCACAAGTGACATCTCTGTAACACCTAATAGTTTTTCACTCTTCCCCTGTCCTCATTCCTTCTGTGTCAGTTGAATACATATCAAGAAAAAGTAATTCTGTCTGCAGTCCTTTTTCTTTTTTCTTTTTTCCTGCCTAGTTACCTCTGCTATTGGTATCTTGCCAATGATTAATTATAGCTACATATAGTGGGTTTTAACTGACGTTTCCTCTGTGAACAGTTTCTTAAATGTTATTCTTCTGATAAAGTTAGTGCAGTTAACAGTAACCATGTTTACTTTATTACACTACAAATATCTTTTATTTTATCTTATTTTATTTTATTTTATTTATTTTTATTTTTTTGGCAACTTAGTAGTATGGGAAATTGAGGGACTTTTCCTTGTTCCTAAACACATCATGCTAATAGCAATTTTTTATTTTTTTTTTTTTCCCCAGAATCTAGTTATCTCACACACTAATCTAAATACTACTTTCATGCACTTTCCTGGAAGTTAGTGGAACTTTGTCAGGTTTGGCCAATGCTCTGTGGTCATTCTTTACACAGAAACATAATTATATACTTGTATATGTAAAACATACATATACTTACGTATACTATTTATATGTCTTACAGCAAGCACTTTAAAGATATTTTTATTATTCATAATGGTTAGGAGTTAGAATTTGCTTCCAATGAAAACATTAATTTTGAAAGATTTGAAAATGGAATTTGGAGTGACAGCTAAATGTTTCTAGGTATGTTTGATTTCTCTCTACAGTTTTACCCTGGGATAACTCCACTTGGTTTGGTGGAGTCTATTTAAAATAATTAATGTGAATTCATACGCTATCAGGTAGAATTTTTCTTCCTTTTTTTTTTTTTTTTTTTTTTTTTTTTTTTTTTTTTTTTTTTTTTTTTTTTTTCCCAGAGTTTTATGTAGACACAGTAAAATAAATCTACCAAAACCGCGGTTAAAATATTTTGACATAGGCACAGCAATATAAATGCAAAATGTGTATTTGCATTTTATTGGAAAGATAAATATTTTAATAACTGTTTCCTACTATGACAAACTCATTTCTTGACACCCACTGCCCTATTAACTTAATTAGTCCAAGCAGCCTCCTTAATTTACTGTGCAGACATTACAAACTTTGAAAAAATGTTTGCTACCTTTCTGTTTTGATCATATAAAACCTGTAAGGACTGGTTTTAAGACCTTTTTCAAGGTGAATGCCTGTGTAGAATCTTTGCATTGCCAGTGCCCTGGCAAAGTTTCATAAGGCCTTCTTCTTAAAACTTCCTTATTTTTCTCACTTACCTACCCTTTGTAAAACGTAGTACAAGGGGACTACTTGGACACTACTGTTATCATTTTTTTTAAAGTTAATTTATTGAAGCGTTCTTTCATTTGTAACATTGCCCTCTATAGCTGTATTGAGTGAAAAAGATTCCTTAATATATTGACAGGCACTATTTAAAGGCTTCCTCCAAACAAATGAATGGCTTCCTGTAGTATACTCCTTCCTTTCACTTGCCTTTCCTCTGCAGAAATGTTTAAGCTGTTGTCTGACATCCCACTAATGACTGACCTTTTGTCAAAGTGCCACAGTGGAATAACAAATCAGTCTACTGAAGGAATCCAAAAAATAAGAGTCAAAAAGAAGAAAATCTAGTATGTCATCAAAATGAAATGTAGAGCTCAATTGAGGAGCCCTCCCTGCCTTCTGCAGGCACTTCCCAGGAGCCAGAACACCAGGAGACATGATCAAATCCTGTTTCTTCTCAGGGCTCAGGGGAGGGGAAGAGCAAATTTAGCAGTTCTCTTAACACAGGAATCTTTAATAAATGCCTTTCTAAGGGCCTTTTTGGTGAAAAAGCTCTGCCATTTCACGAGGGTGATTTAAAGCACCTTAAAAAATATCCGCTGACACGTCAAGTAGACAAGTCATTACATTTCTCTTGCTCAGCTTTCTTGGAGGCTAGATTAGGTCCCATAGTTGCTGAGTTAGTGCTCTGTCCTTTGGGGTGAGATAGTACAAAACAACTGAAGGGTCAATAAGTTCCTTGTTAACAAAAGTAATGAAAACATCTGGAACATTCAACTACTTGTTGGCTATGCTTAACAGGAGGAAAATGCGCTTCTTAGTTTTGTATTTGCCAGCTGCCATTAGGAAATGAGATCAGAAAGGCTGGCTAGAAGAGAGCTGCAATGTGTGTGACAGAAAAAGAACTTTACAGCTGATTAGAGTAAGTGTCTAATTTGCTCTATCAGTGTCTGGAAGAATTCAGAGAGGTGGAGATCTGTAATACTGTTTTTGTACTGATAATGAAGTTGTAGTCCCATGTGAAACTACTGTATCTATAACATACAGATAATTTTAGACATGGGATACCCATATGGCAACAGAGTGGGCCACAAATATTACTGTCATCACATAAAACTTCAAGCAGTGTGACCATCAGAAGAAATATGTGAGACTGGAAGTATGCATTTGAACTTAAGATCTAATTCAGTCTTAGAACCAAATTAAAAAACTTATTAAAAAGAGCCAGAGGATCCATATATAATTTTACAGAGAGTATTTTTGCTATTAGAGAGAATATTTAGAAGTTTTAAGGTCCCACTTTATACATAGCTATCAAATTTAAAACCATCCGGAGTACTATACTTCTATTTTATGAAAGTAGGAAAGTTTTAGAAATTCCTTATCATTCTATATAGGAATAAAATAAAAAGCCTTAAAATTTCTCCATATTGACCATTTTCAATTTAAATCAGAAAGTCAAATTGTCAAATTATTTTTCTCTCTCTACTCTTTTATCATTCTCTTTTCTCCATGGAACAGACAAGATCTTTGACTTATATAACAAAAGCATCTTCAAAAAGTTTCCAACATTCAGAAGTCTTTACCTTCTCTCCAGAAAATTTCTAGGCAATTACAATTGCGTTTTGGTTCATGAAAGTATTGCATAATCAAAAATGAAACATATGAGAATGTGGAAAGGGAAAAACCCTGAGCTTTGTTATTCAGAGTATGATGGCTATAGTCTTTGTAATAGGTTTCCATATGAATACTTTTTAATGACCTCAGTGTGAACTTTCTAGAAATTTTTTTTGTATTGTGGAAGTCATCATTGTCATCATTTTTAACCTCCCTGTTAAATATTCACTAAAGATATTTGGAGTAACATACAGTTTTGTTCTTTAGGATCTACAACCATTATAGATGGTGATCATGGTTCACGCAAGGGAAATTTTGAACCCACTCCTAACCCTGGAGAGAACGCAACAACAACAATAACATCAGAACCAAGGTCATCCCAGATACCAGGTAGGTTTCTGAAGTCATATCTTTTAACAATTTAAGAACATAATGATAGTAATATGAACTGAAATAAGAGATGAAGATGTACATCAAGTATAGTTGTTCAGGTTTTGTTCTGAATCACATTGTCACTGAGAGTCTGAGAAATGGAGCATATTGCAACTCATAAAATATTCTAGCACTATGTAGATAAAAGAAATCATGCATTTTGGAGAACAGGATTAAGAGATAAATAATTTTGATAAATTGATATGCAATCAGGGAAAATTCAGTAAAGATAAATGCAAAGTATCATAACTTTGAGAATATTCCATGAAAACAATATCTGATAAGTGTTACAGAAAAGGAATTGCAGGTTAAAATAGAATGGAAAGAAGCCAACACAATGATGTCAAAGAATGACATTTTTTTTCTGGGACATATTGTGGAATGAAGAACAGGCTATAGAGAAGGTTGTGAAATCTCCTTCATTAAAAATGCTGAGAGCAAATGGAACGTTTCTCAGAGATGCTCTTATTCATTCTGTTTCACTGAAGTGAAATATAACTGAGGTGATCTCTTTGGGTCCTTTCCTGTTTTACCTCTTTATCCTGGTTTTTTAGTTCCTTCTAATTTTTTTTTTGTTTAGGATTTGGCTTTTTAAAGATCTCCCTTAAAGTAAGATTTAAAAAAAAAAATAAAAAATAAAAAAAATATAGATATTTCACTCTACCTTAAAGCCAACCTACTTTTGTACGTGGGATTGCAGATGTGTCAGCACTAAGCCTTTTCTTCTGCTCTTGGAATAAATCAATGACACAACTCCTCTTCACCTATGCAATCTAAAATACACTGATTCTAGATGCCAGAAGTGGCCAGGTATTTCATTGGTGTTGGCCTGGGCATAGCTGAGCACTTTCTTTGATCACATAGGCAATGTGACTGATGAAATTGTACCTGATTTGCACAGAAGCAATTTGCAAAGTGAACAAACATTCATTCAAGAAGTCTTGCAACTTAAAGAATGCACAAGCATCTGTGAAACTGCAAAATTACATGGGACGGATTAACACATTCTCTCCCCCTCCCTTGACTCTCCCCAGACTGGCTGATCATCGTTGCTGCTCTCTTGGCACTGGCATTGATCCTTGTAGTGTGCATCGCCGTCAGCAGTCGGAGGAGGTAAGGTAGCCCTGCACTTTGAAGCACACCACAGCATGATGTGGGTGCTGGAATAAAGCACTGACACATATCTTTTAGAGGTCATATTGAAATAAGAAGGAGATAAGACACATGGTGAGATGGAAAAATCTATACTTTTCTTTCTGTTAAGTGACTGTAGTTACACACCCTGAATGGCACGGCTTATTGATTTATGTATCACTCTGCTTTGCATACAAAAGCAGAGGCTGCCATTGTTTCCTCCCTCTTAGCCCAGAGGCACCATAGAAACAGACAAATAGGGCCAGTATGACTAAATATAGACTGCATCTGACAAGAACTGAAACAATCTCAAAGCTAAAAATTATGTCCTAGATACTGCAAGTGGAAAACATATATTTTACTTAGAGCTGCCATGCAGGTGGGATTGAGACCAAAGGAGAAAAAGTGCACATGGGTCTGTGGGTGTGCATGGGTTCATGGATTAGATCCTGCCAATATGCACCAATCCCTATGAGGATCAATCTTTGAAGCATGGACATAATCTGGTATTCTTGAAACAGGTGGCATTGTTTCTTTCACCAGGATCAAAATAATTAAGATTTCTTTCACCAGGATCAAAATAATTAAGAGATTAATCTATTCAGATAAGTGATAATCTGCTGCAGACCCAGGGAAGGAGTTGCTGTGCAGTCGCCACACTTCACACAAGCATCAGCTCATCTGAAAGTAGCTCTGCAGCTGTGCTGCAAGGGAACTGGGCAGGCGAAAAAGGTGGATTGAGTATCCAGGGTTATCCAAGCAGTAAAGTGAGAATGTTACAAGCATTCATTTATTTAAAAATGAGAACTGTGTATTTATTTTTATAATGCTGTCAGTTAAAAGGAATTTTGACAGCAGCTTCTCCGGTTTCGCTCTCATTCTGGCTGCCTGTAAAAGCTTGTGGGCTGTAGGCTTTGGTTTCAAGGTAGTTAGCTTCTTGATTCAGAAATCAATAGACTTGGCCTTCATAGTTACAAAGTCAGTATGGCAGGGATCTCAAGCACTTCCACCAAGCAATTGGTTCTTCGCAGCAAATAGCAAATTGCTTCACTATAGGGTTGTTGTTGTTACTGTTTAATTGGTCTTGTCTTGATAAAATTGGTGTTATCTTCACAAAAACAAAACAAAACAAAACAAAACAAAATGGCCCAAGGTTCAGTGTGAGGCAGTTTCCTTGCTTGATTGTTTATTTTTTTATTATTCCTCTTGTTGCAAAGAAGAACATCGCTGTCTGGTTCCTATTGTAAAAAGTATTAGGATCTCCATCCACAGTCCAACACTGGGTGCAGCACAGCCTGACCGTCATGTCAGGAAAGAAAAGCTGAGCTGCTCTTTTGAGAGGCTGTGGCCTCTCTTCCAGCATTTCATAGTTGCAGAGCAGAAATCATTCCTAAGTTTATGCATAGCATTCACACAGCAAACTGAGCTGCTTTGGATGAAATAATCCTCACCTATCAGTCAGTAAGCATGAAAAAAGTCATACTTCAAAAGCATAATGGCATAATTTAACTGCCAAATTAGTCATTCAAACAAAATCTGTTTCAACAACGAAGAAAATACTTTAAAGTAAAACTTCAGAAAATTAGTGTACCTCTTAACAGACCTCTGGGCATTCAGTTTATACTAGGCTATTCAAAGACAACAAGTGGGATATTCAGCACAGTGTATCTAGAGTTTTAATGGACTAGGGCAAATCTGACATCCGTGTAACTATTAATTTCTACTGCCCTGAAGAATATCCAGCCCACATGGTCTGGATGTACAAAGTCTGGATGTACAATGACCCTGTCCATATACTGGGATGTATACAAAGTTCATAAATGTGGATAAATCCACACCTTAGAAAATCTTTTCTAGCTTTCAGTAATGCTTGTTAGTCTTGTCTATAATGACACCAGATAGCAACTGAATCAGTAGGATCCTGCAAAAGTTTATGTATATAATTACGTATTTTTTCAAAAAAATGGAAGGTGGAGACACCTTACACCTTTCATTGCACAGGTCTGCACTGACAGACGCAAGTTTCATTTCTAAGCACCTTTTTCTAAATACTAACTTGAAATTTCTTCTCTTATTTCCATTAGCCTCCATTTATGGTACTTATTTCCTTTTAATTTCTTTCTAGATGTGGGCAGAAGAAAAAGCTCGTGATCAATAACGGCAAAGGTGCAGTGGAGGACAGGAAGACAAGTGAATTAAATGGGGATGCCAGCAAATCACAAGAAATGGTGCACTTGGTTCACAAAGAACAGTCAAATGACCGAACAGGAGCATCTGACGAATTCCTCACCATTGACGAAACACAAAATCATCAGGAGCTGGACATGAAGAGTGGAGTGTAATGGTACCAACTCACCAAGTAGATCAGAGCTGGGGAAATCAAAATCACACGGAACTTGGGCCAGAATTCACAGATGCACTGTGCTACTGATGTCTTTTGAACACAATTAAACTTAAGTTGTCTTCATTTTTAATCATTTTTAAATGATGTCTGAGTTACAGAATTGACATTTTCTACCTGAAATAAGCCCCAAGAGTTGCATAAATTTGTCAGTTCACAATTACTACACAGAGGACACTTACTGTGTCCTGGGTATATCATTGATCCCCAGATACAGTGTCTTCGCTGTGCGGAGCTACAGAAGTATCCAGTTGCTCTATCTTACAGGTATTTAAGGTACTAAACTTGTCATGGTACAAGAGTAAGTGAGCAACAAATGTCAAGAGCAAAACAAAAAGCTTAAACCAAAAAGGCCTCCTATACAATGTCTAAAACAGCAGAATTCATCAGAAATGCCTTACAGCCAGGAAGAGCAGTAGGTTCATTGAAAGTCTGCCAGTAAAATCAAAAAGTGACATAGTGATTTATGACTTATTCTGTAACAAGGAAAACCCAGAAGGACAAAGCTTATTTATCGTTGTTTTAAAATGTCTGCGGGCATGCAGCAAGTCTTTTTGGGAGGGGGAATAAAGAAATGAAAACATGAGCTGATACATAATAAACATCATTACTTTATTATCTTAACAATCTGTACAGTTATCCTTGAGTTTTTGAGTTTTTGAAGAGTTATCCTTGAGTTTTTGAAGTGTTCATTGCTCTTCCCCCTCTCTCCTTCATTGGTCCCAGTTTGTGTATGTTTTAATGAGTCTGTTAGTTAGTATAATTAATAAAACAGAATGACCCCAGCTCTATTGTGCATGCACAAATCAAGGAGTTTGAAATCATCAGCGATGATGACAGTATTTTTATTCCAGAAGAATAGGTCTTTACTTTCCCCTGCTCAATTGTACTTAGGAGATGCTGAGCCTAGTAAAGCTTGTTTCCCCTGTAACTGTTGCGTTACACCAGTTTGATGATATTTTAAAAGTGGCCTTTCTATGATCTCACTCACTTCTGAATTCTATTTCCTCCACGTTTTATTTCTTCTTTTTAAAAATACCAAAACAAATACTGTTTGTTTACTGGTACCAGAAGTTGAAGTTCTACATAAAAGATCAAAGAGATTTAAAGAAAACTCTCCCAACAATGTAATATAGTAAAATAGCTGCAGCTGCATTGTCATATGCTTTTGTTTTGTCATTGTATGTCTATTATGTAAAGTATTTGTATTAAGCTATGATGCTGTGCATTATATTGATATGAACTGCCAGAAAGAAAATTATTTACTACCAGTGGTCTGTGCCATTTTTAAGAAAGCATATTGGAATGGTGGGCGAATTGTAACTTCTAATTGGGCTGCCTCAAAAAAATGCAAGCAAAACCAACCAGAGGTAATAGCATTCAGCGAGGTGTGTCAGCTGTGGGATGGGGAATACCAAGAGAAGTCCATTCAGATGTTCCTGTTCACTGACCATAGCACCTTCATTGGAAAACGCCATTCTGCTAATGCATTATTTTATGTTCTCCATCTGAAGCAATTGGAGGATAAGTATTCAGCTGGCTAAGTACTAACATTATCTAGCACTGATCTTTACTAGAACACGAAGCCCAATCAAAATCATGATTATGGTTCTCAGTTACAGCCCTTCAGCAGTTTCTCAAGCATCTATTTGAGTTGCTCATTGCCCCAGTATCTGCAGGCAGATCTCCTCAGGGAAAATGTACACTTGGGCAAAAGGTCCCAAGACAAGACATGATTTCAGAGTGCACGTAGGACATTTTCTGGCTCCATGTATGTAAAGACATCTCATCTATGAGCAGTCACACAGCTCCGAAGGTGTTCAAACAAGCTGAGGCCAATAAGGTCAAGGTGACTAACAACACTATCAGTATATGTATACCAGTACATTGTCAAATTTCTCAGCCCTGCCACAAGCACGTGTTTTAATACTGGGCTGTGCTGTGGGAACTTTGTTGACTCTACATTGATTTTTTTCCTATAATGTTTTTAAGCAAGCTTTTCTTTTTGTCATTATATATCAATAACATGTAATTATATATGCTTATCACTAAGTGCAGAGATCCAGAATAAGAATTTTGACTCTCTTTAAATCCCAATTGAATATAAGCCACAATCAAAATGAGACTTTTCACTGTCTTGAAGGATAAGGTTTTCTTATCTTAAAAAAAGGAGGGTGGGAGAGCTATTATTTGTCTCCCTACTGAGATGTTCAGTGGAGAAATTTATCTAATATTCAGTAACTGTAACTGTAAATGCATGGACAACGCTGGTTGGCTACTTTTTATATTTTTAAATAGGGAGATGCTCAATTTCTCTTTAAAAAGGCAGTGCCATTATTTTATATATGCTGATTCTTTTTAGATTATGTCATGCAACTGAAGTGCAATTAAGTTTTATTATAGTTTCAAAACTAGATGGCCATTTCATATATGTAATATTGTACATATTTTTATTAATCTTGTTTTTTTTTTTAATATTTCAGGGGTTGTTTGTTGTGTGTATGTATTTTTTATATAGAGCACTAGATATATTTGCATATTTATTTAACAGATTAATCAAAAAGAAAGAAAATAGCACCTCTAAATTGTAATTAGAAATAACATTGCTAAAATTTTTTTGAACTGTAAAATAAGCTTCCAAAAATAAACTTGACTCCACATTGAGGGTAAAAAGTAAGGTTAAAGTTACTAGTGGGAGAGAGGAGGCATTCAGCAGGGTAGTCATATACAGCAGTGGTGAGCTGCTATAGTGGTAACCAGAGGTCAGTTCTTCTGCTTGCAAGCTGCAAGCCAAACTCAGCTGAAGGCTGCGGGACCTCACATCACCCATGGGCTCCCCAGCTGCTCTGGGGGTTAGTGATGAGTTCAGCTCCCCTCGGAGCTGAATATCTCTGGGATATTTCAGCCCAAGATCAACCCAGTAAAAGAGAAGTAATGTTTAAAGCAGTAAGTATATTTAAAAGAGAGGTTGTATGTTTTATGAGAATGTAATATTTTCGTCAAACAGTTTGGGGTGATCGCTTCACCTGTATTTTCTTGAAGATCTTACACGGAATGGTTGATTAAAGCAGTGAAAGGATATGCAGCCTTCATGTCTATCTGTGTGGATATTTTAAACCCTTCCCACAACATCAGCCCCCAAATTGTATTTCTGCACAACAGTCTCTTCTTCATAGGGATGTCTTTTGTGTGTCCTTTGCCAAGAACACCAACACCACCTACCTCTGCACTATGTAGTGTACATTGGCTGGAATATTATTAGGAGAAAATTACCAGGTGTCTCGTAAACACCGACACATAGTCACAGTGCTGGGGAGAGGCAGAGATTTGTATATCGTCCCGGTAAGGGCTGCTCCTAGTCACTCTTTCTGTAGATGAAGGGAAGCAATAAAATCCTCTGAGAACCGTGTTCTGCCTCAGCATACTTCATGAGCCAGCAGTTACTGTGTTTATTTTATGCTACATTAGGCTGTTAGCCAGCAGTTATCTCTTGGCCTTATTAAACAACTGAAGGCTCAGACTTCTCTGGTTGCAAGATTTTGATTAGTTAAAGAACATGAACCCTTTGGGTAACCACATGCACTGACAAGTTCTCCTTTGTGGAAGGGGAGAGGACAAACAGGTGGAAGGGAAAGTGCTGAAGTGGGCTGGTCCCTGGGGAGCAGCTCCAGCTCTGTGGGCATGGGTGACAAAGATCTTGTTTCTTCCTGGGGGGCAAGAAGCATGAAATGGTACTCCGAGGGTGGGAACTCCAGGGAATTCGGGGCAGAAGGGGAGTGCAGTCACTGGGAGACAAAGTGAGGAAGAGTGAAATTTCTGTGCCACTGACTGGGAAAGTCCCCTCAACATCCCCAGGACTTCATCACTTGAACGGTTCATAGCTCACAGAAAAGAAAAAGAATCAGCCTTTTCCTGTGAACCCCCCACCTCCAGGTCACCCTCTGCACTCACCACATGATTTGCAAACTGATTTTGACCATTTTTCCCTGGTAGCTCCTTTCTCACTATTACTCTGCTGTGTTGCTGTGGCATTCACCAATGCCACGCTGAGAGCACCCAGCTGGGGCTATGGGAAATGAGAGGCAAAGTGCAAACTTCGCAAAGATGACTATCGGTGTCTTTTGTGCAGCACAGAAGCTTCACTTTCTGTCCTTCTTGTCTCACCCATTCATGGATGGGTAGGCAACGACAAGATTTCTAGAATATTTCTGTTCTTGCTCATCTTCCTGTTTTTAAAGCACCAGACTTAAACGGCTCTTCACACAAGTCAGCTGTGATGCAGCAACGGTTTTTTTGGCTTTGTTTTTGGGAGGTTTTTAGTGTTTTTGTTTTGTTTTGGATTTTGTTTTTGTTTGAGAATTGAAATTAAAGAAGAGAACCCATCCTCAGAGAAGATCCCCTGACTTCAAGGGAGCTGATTGTTGTTAAAGTGCAGGTAAAGCAGAGGAAGCAAAAGCTTTACAAATGCTTTAAGCACAGCTTTCGTTCAATTTTGTCTGCATGGCTCCAGCAAACAGTAGAAAGGCTTTGCCGGAGCTATAGCTTCAAGGGTTTGCAAACTTCTTATTAAAGCTTCTTACTCTATAGGCAAAAGGGTTTGGATGAATTAGTGGATGGATAAAAACCATTTTCATACGTTCATACGTCCTCTGCCATGCATGGAATGCTGATGTGAATGTCATTAGTTTTGTATTGCCTTAAAAGAAAAGAAAAGAAAAGAAAAGAAAAGAAAAGAAAAGAAAAGAAAAGAAAAGAAAAGAAAAGAAAAGAAAAGAAAAGAAAAGAAAAGAAAAGAAAAGAAAAGAAAAGAAAAGAAAAGAAAAGAAAAGAAAAGAAAAGAAAAGAAAAGAAAAGAAAAGAAAAGAAAAGAAAAGAAAAAGACACAAAAATGATGAAGTTATGGACAAAGACTGTCAAATGGGAAAATAAGTATTTTTTTGTTTTTAGAAATAGACATAGTTTTAGATAGTTTCAATATCTGAAATAGGAAACTTTTTTTGTGGAAGATGCCTAATACATAATATGGCTTTCCATTTGTACTGTTAAATGCTTAAAAGTAACTGATTTCCCATTCTTAAAAAATGTAGAAATTTACAGGAAAATAAAGTTTGTCAAGTCAAATAGGATCTGACATAAATTTAAGTACATCTATGAAAAAACCCTAAAAGACTTTTCACACCTTCAGTAAAAAAGTCTCACTCTGTAGCACCCACCTAACAGAGTCGAGCTCAACAGCAGCTTCTTTCTGGTGCTGGCTCTGAGGCAAGCAGATGCATTGCAAGTGATGCCAAGTACACAGCTGAAGTTAGGAGTGTGTAGGCGGGCAGCAGGAAGTCAGCATGTGGCTCAGAGGCAGTGGTGGCTCTACAAATCAGACTCAGGGTCTGCTGAGTTAGTCCCAAAGTCTTTCAAACCCCCAGAGCAACGCAGGAGAGATGGGGACACAGGAAGACACTTTCCACCTCTTTTCCAGAGGCTGTGAGTTTTGCACCTGGCATCTGAAAGCCTTGCCTCAGGCCATTGTGCTAGGGGGTTGTCCACTTGAATGCCCACATGCTAATGCTGTGTTGCAGTGCATAAAAGGTTTGGTCACAGCAGAGTTTTAGCCTTAAATCTAAATTTACTTGCAGTCATGAGTGTACATCTGCCTTCTGGCACCACATTTTCAAAAGCCTATTCTTTTTCCTGGCTTAATCCAAAAAAAAAAAAAATCTTAGATCATTTTCAGCATCCACATTTTCCTCTCATGAATCAAGACTCCACGCTTTCATGTTACCCAGAACAAGCAGTAATAAACTGGGTATGTTTTGACTCATGATTGGAAACTAAGTCTGCGTTTATATTCACCACTTTTTATCAGCCTGTTCTTTTTAATAACAAGCATCTGTTTTTGGGCTGCTGATGATGATTGCTATCAGCACCCCCTCCTTAGCCAGCTTAGAGAGAGAGCTTCCAGCAGATTTCAGCCTGAGCCTGAAGGATGAGTTTCTCTAAGATGAACTCATCGAAGCTGTGCCCAGTGCCCACTACTCAGTCTCGGCTGGCTGCAGCACAGCTCCTCAGCTCCTGAGCAAGGACAGTTTAGCAGTCATCACCACCATTAGGCATGTTTCGTTTTGCAGCAGCAGGACATCAGATTCACCAGTGGGGGCACGTTATGTTTACAGTTATTCGGAACTTCCCTGCATTTCTTCTGTGGCTCATTTTCTAGTTAATGTTTCTTTCACTCATCAAGAGAAAGTTTGAAATGAACTCTAGGTAAATATACTTGTTTGTTGAGCTAGAAACTCGACAGAGTTTTCCGGTGTTCATGAAGGGTGAAGTTCCCCCACACAGAGGGCAGACGCAAAGCCTACATGTGGGTTACATGCCATTTATGTGGCAGAAATTGAGCCCAGGTACAGCTGAGAGGGTCAGCTTTGTGCTGGCTTTCTGCAAAGTTGTGGGTCTTATGCAATGAGCCTTTTTAGAGGAACCTCACAGAATCACAAAATCATAGAATAGCCTGTTGTAATTGTCCCACAAGGATCACTGGGTCCAACTCCTGGCTCCACACAAGAACACCCAAAAATCAGACCTCTGATCATTGCTGAGAAAAAAACATATGTACGAGAATGTTGTCCAAACACTTCTTGAACTCTGGTAGGCTCAGTGCCATGACCACATCCCTGGGGAGCCTGTCCCAGTGCCCAACCACCCTCTGGGTGCAGAACCTTTCCCTAACATCCAGCCTGACCCTCCCCTGTCCCAGCTCCATGCCGTTCCCTCAGGTCCTGTCGCTGTCCCCAGAGAGCAAAACTCAGCGCCTGCCCCTCCGCTCCCCTCAGGCCACCATGAGGCCTCCCCTCAGCCTGCTCTGCTCAGGGCTGAACAATGTGACCTCATACATCTTCCCATCTAGACCTTTCACTTCCTTTGGTCACTCTTTAAGATTTTTATGTTCTCCTTACATTGTGGTACCCAAAACTACGCACCGTGCTTGAGGTGAGGCCACACCAGTGCAGAGCAGAGGGGACACAATTGTTTAGTCAGGACTTTGCCCTCGTGAACCCACGTTGCCTGAGACCAATGACTGCATTATCTTTCAGGAATTTTTCAATAACTCCCAGAAAAATCTTCTCCATAATAACCCCCACTCATACAGAATTGTGCATTCAAAAATTCTTGGTAAAAGGCAAGTTAACTATATCTATTTAATGCTAGCAATTTAGGTAATCCTGGCAACTTGGGTGAAACCCTACAGTGAATTTTTAGATGTATTTCCTAGGCTTGTCTCTGTTCCTAACCTTTCACAGATTTTGGAGCCAATCTTCTCTTTCTGGGGCATCTCCACAGCAGAACCTCTCGAGTGATTCAGGCCATGGGAACATGAGCCAGGAAGGCCCCTGGGCACCATGAGGATCAGTTTTACCAAATGAGTGTGAGAAGTGCTACCCTCTTTTAAGTTGCACCATGAACAACTACCACTGCACAACCCCTGTGAAGGACAGGCCCTAGGCTACTTTCTTCGGCACTTGTCCTGAGGAAGTGCCTTATACTGTGAGAGGCCCAGTTCCTTTGCCGCCCCTCCCCGTGGGTTCAGTGGGCAGCCACCAGCTTTGTTGTTTATCTGTCTCCGCTGACGCATTTTGCTTATCACTGCAGAACCTGCCTGCCGCGCTAACGCCGCCACGACCGCAAGGCCCGGCATCGCATGCACAGTCATTTCCTTCCTGCATCCCCTGAAGCAAAGGGGAGCCGTGGCTGCCTGCTTACATGGGGCCAGCACAGGCCCCATGCAACCACCCTTGCACCCCTGGAGCTCTGCCCCAAACCTGGCCGGGGTGCTGGTCCTTGCTGGCCATGCGTGTGCGTGCTGCAGGGGTGCCTTCCAGCCTGCCAGCTGGTTGTTTTTTACGCTGCTCCCCTCCTACGTCGCAGCCTGTTGGGGCCACCTGTTTCTTTCATATCCTTGTCCTGTTTACATGCACCGATACAACGGAGGAGGCTGGTGGAGGTTTGGCAGCCCTGAAGTCTTCTCTCTTTCTCTTTCATGCCTGAGAAGGGATAGAGGAATGGCTCTCAGTATGGTCAATGCTTCGTGAGTATGCCAGTGATGGGGAATTCGGAGCTCTGAAGAGACCAGGGGGTTTAAGGCAGCAGAGCTGATTTATGAACAAGGCCAGGCCTGAATGCAGTAATATCCTGCCTCTGGCAGCCTGTGTCAGAGGTTCAGACACCATAACAAACCTCCTGGGCCTCAGGTTCATCTCCCACCCCGAGATTCCCCAGTGCTGCAAGGGTCTTCAGCCTGCTCCTGCCACACCGGGCCTCCCCTCGCAAGCTCCTCAGCTGCGATGGCAGCCCACAGAGGTGCAGGCTGCGCCTCACAGGCTGGTTTAGGTTACATCCATTGATCACCTAGTTGTGGTTAGGTGAGATCCATATTGTGTCCTGCTGGGATCATAAATGCTGGGGCTTTCTCTCCATACATAGCAATGGCCAGTCCTTCAAGCCATGGCCCGTACCATGAGCATATCTCAATTCATGTACTAAGCGCAGTTTATTTCTTTACAAAGTTTACCAGGGGTTCAGCAAAAGCGTCTATTATTTAATTTATTTTTTGTTTAAGGCTAAGATGAAGAGATTTACTTTTTATCAGGCAGGGAAGCGAAGCATGTTTCTAAAGCAACTGCAAGCAACTCATTGCATCCTCCTACTCTTCTAACATTTCTTCCTACTCCTCTAGCTTTCACTGCCAAGACTGCTTAAGACTTCAGTGTGGTTAGCACATCCTGGACTTTGCAGCAGGGAAGCTCAGATGCAGCTGGTACCCTGGACCATTTAGAGCATACACATGAGGGGGCCGACTTCTGGTGCTTTGGCAAATCCAGGTCCAACATCTACCTCTCATAGAGATCTCACAGATCTCAGCATCTCACATCTGTCTTCTTTATGTAACCTCTCACCCAAATTATATCCAGGCTGACAGTAAAACTCACAGGTATAAGCCAGGAAAATTATGAATCAACATTTATTGACGATATGTACAGAAGAGGTACAACACTTAGTGAAATATTATATTCACGACTATTTCCAGTATAGAAAGAATGTCCAGTTTGTTTTATACATAAAAGTTACAGAAGTCAGTTTACACCATAAGAAAGCATTAAAAGCAAATGACTACAGATAAGTATAAGGATCTGAACTACAAAAATAGACTTAGTCTACAAGGCATTCCAGCTACAATATACAAGAACAGAACCTCAAGTTGTGAGAAATTTTATCTGTATTCTTTAGTTTACAAAGTGTGCTATAGATACTGTACAGTATGTCATTTCAAAACCTGGGGAACTTTTTGAGTGTAAGGAAAAGACCAACCTGACCCCTCTTTCTTTTTATTATTTTCAGGTGAAGCATCTGAAAATATTTCATCTTATAATTGGTCACTTTTAAGAGGGGGAAGGAGTATCAGGAGCAGGAGCAGGCAGTGCACAGTCCCACAGCATGTGATTCACACTGAAACATCGTAGGAGGACTCACCGAGAAGGATACTTCCCATGCTTTAGGGCCTAATTTTGATCTTTTTCCACTTACGGGGGATGAACATATATATTTATGAGAACCAGGCTCAGGTACCCTGGGCATGATCCAGATTTTTTTTTTTTCTTGCTGTCTCAAAATCTTTCAGAACCACCTTCAGTTTTTGCCCACAAAAAAAAAAAAAAAAAAAGTAATTTTCTTACAGATTATAGCCCTGATTTCAGAATAATTTTGCCACTGAATACGTATGTCTGTTTTATTATCTATTTTATGATAAAACATACTTCTTGTATATAACAGGTATCCTGGACATCAACTACAGTAGCTTGAGAAGCACTTAACTTAACATTTTTAATTTCCAGTAGCTATCAATATCCTCTTCTAACAATGTCGGAAGCAGTGGATCCTTGCCCATGAGTCTGTGCATTTTCCTTATAGTCTGTTCCTACCAAGGGGACACAGCAGGGGCTGGTGCTCCAGAGAGGACAGGCAGACCCTTGCTGCCCACAGCATGCAGCACTCTGCGCAAGTAGCAGACAGGGTATCCAGCATAAGGCAGCTAGACTGATTTCCCCCTTGCTCATTGTGCTAATTTAAGCAGTGACTTACTGAACTTCTGGTGGTAGAGTCCCAACACATCAGACAAACAAGAATAAAACAAAACATAAACTAATCATTCTGTGCGTGCATTAATTTTTAGTGTCATAACAAATGTACTCATGAGGAACACATCTATGCTGGCATCACTTTCGCTCACTGCCAGGGAAGCACACCCATGCAGGTACTAGCATGTACCATGCTGGTTAGAGACCTTAAAACTAAAACCAATGTATTTACAGTAACTTGACTGAATACATTATTCTGAATGTTATCAGAACAGGATAACCCATAATTGAAAGATAAAGCAGTTACTAAACTATGTAATTGACTCAGTTGAATGGCCAGAAGGAAAACAAACTCAGACAAAAGAACAAAAACCGAAAGTAGAACAGAATTTTAAAAGATGGCCTAATTTGATGCTATGGTTCAATACACACCAACAAGTAAAATTAAATTAAAGCACCGCTACCCATACTGTATACACCATTTCACTGAAATTACACGTTGATAGCTACATTATCTACACTAAGTGCAGAGAGGCACTGGACATCATGCTTCAACAAAATGTCAAAACTGGTATCAATAAGGTTTTACAGCTATTAGTGACTCACTTAGCTCTATTCTACCTGCAGTTCCTATTAAGATAATACCTGGTAAAACTGATTTAAAATACAAGAAAGAGATTAAAATACAAGGGTACATCAACACACTTCCTACATGTATATCTACCAGAAATTTAGTCTCCAAAACCTCAGCAGAATACCACACCCCACAGATTTCTGAATAGATGAAGAGATGCCCAGTATCAGTCACACTGGGATAGCAATATTTGCTGTTCAATATCTTCTTTGTTTTTAATCATGATCAAGGAACTTGTTGACCATAAGGGAAACTTTCTGTGATATAAGTGTTATTAATATTTATATTAAATCATGTTTATTCCTCTCAAAACAGCACTTTGTTCATTAAATAAAATTATTGTAGCCATGGCCTTAATGCCAACAGGTATTTGCCTAATGGGAACAGACGACCATAAAAGAGAAGCAACTTTCACTTGTCCTGGTCAAAAAATATAGTGTTTGATCTCTTTAAAATACATAAGAATGCAGGAGGTATTTGTACAGATGCTACCCAATTGCAGTGGTCCCATGGTGGTTCTGTTGGTCCCCTTTCAAGAAGGCAAAGCTTGGTGGCCAAGTCATGAAGTCTTTCTGCAGGCTGAACTCAAGTACATTACATTATAGCAAGATGGACTAGGTAACTGACAATCTATCTTTGCCTACCCAGATCTCCAATTTTCTTTCATCAGCAGTCTGAGTGAGTCAATTACACATGATCAGGTCCTAAGAAAGAACTGCAAGATTTGGCAAAGGTAATACCAGGAAAAATGACAAAAATGAGGGGCAATTGCCCAAGACAGTCAATCTAGAAGATTGTTCAGGTTATTATAACATTGTTCTATAATGAACTGCAGCATTTAAGGACATCTTGAAATTCCTATTTGCTTCTTGCATTTTGTGCTTTGTTTATAATTCATCACTAAACATAACACAGAAATATTTCATTGATCCTAAATGCTATGAGAAAACTGGTTTTGTTCTAAGGTACAGATCACCTTTAAAGGCCTATCTCCCTATCTTATATGGTCATATAGAAAATATTATATGAAAATATGAGTGTCTGTAAATTACAGATACTAGGCAATTTAGTTCAGTCTAAACTGTAGTTTCCAGAGAACAAGTACAAACCCCTAAAACCTATATTAATAACTACATCAGGATTGAGCATATCATATTTATATTAATATATGTGCAGTGTTTTCTCATGCATTCTACAAGCTACAGCTCACACTGGACCATGGGAAATGGGATATATTTAAGAAGGGCACAGGATATGTTGGATGGAAGCGTATGCAATTGTTTTTAAGAAGGAAGGACAACCTGTAACACACAAGGACTCACAAGCCCATACAAAACACCAAAATGGACATGCGATAATCTACAATACTGACAGCAAAACTAATTTGTAAACACAGTTCGCATACAGTCTTTGAAAAACTGTAGAAAAGAAATAGAAAAGAACGATACAAAAATCCCTGCAAACTCTTCTATTTATGTACAAAACACTGTACAGGTACTAGACAACCCAGGTTGTGTGATGCTGCCTATGGCACTTTCCCTTCGTGTAATGGTGTATGCCACAGAGCATCATTAAAAACAATTGCGGGGCTCCTGAATTTTGAAAAATCAAACTAGAAGGATTCGACACTCCAGCATCAATCAGCATTGGCTCTGCAGCAGAACACAGACATAAAAGGGGATCAAAGGTTGGGTGAGAAATCTCACTGGTCTTTATGCCTTCCCAAATCCTGCCTTAGCTTAGTTATTTCCATCCTGGAGCAGCAGAGACCCACTTGGTGGCTCAGTCATATGTTCTAGTTTTTTTTCAAAAAAAAACCTAGCTGCAAAAGCACAACCACCTTATCCATGAGGATTTGTATCAGCTTGGTAGTGGGAAGCCACCAGGCTTCCCCCAAGCATGGAAGAAGTCTCTGGGATGGTGGGCACAGCCAAGGAATGGTTCCTAAGAACCTGCTCATGCAAGAAGTGAAGGAATGATCAGCACCAGGGAATCAGCAGCTGTTTGGTTCATTCACAGCAGCAGATTTCAATTTAATATCAAACAAGATCGGGGGAAAAAATGAGGGAGGCACCCCTTCTGCAGTGTACCGTAATGGGGGTCCTGATGTAGGCATGCAGAACTGCGGAGCCTGCATCAGGGTTAGGGAGAGCCACAGCCTCTGTGTCTGCCAGGAAGAAAGATCAATGGCTTTGGAAAGAAGACAGATTTAATACATTGTTTGGGGTAAATTGTGAACAAGAACATAACACTTTAAAAAGTAACATGGTGAAGCTGAACACTTTGTTTAGAGATGGCTGCCTTCTCTGACAGTTCAGCATTGTAATTCCTCCTCCCCCCCCCCCCCCAAAAAAAAAAAAAAAAAAAATCCTTTATTTACAGGCATTCAGATAAATATTTGGGAAAATATTTTTCCTTAAAAGTCATCGATAGCATTGGAGAAAAGAAAATCACTCTTTGTTCAGAGAGGGCTTTCTGGTGGGAGCAGGAGCCTCCACACAATGTTATGCAGGGATGCAAGCAGAGCTATAGCCGAGGTGAACTGGCCCAGTGGACCATACACCAACTCTAATGACTAGTATGAAAAATATCTTATTATCGTGTCCTTAGAAGTCACAGTAACAAAAACAAGGATAGTCTTCTGGCTCATAACAGACTAATATTACAGTACATTTTTTATAAAGTGCCCTTATTTACCCTTCTGTAAATGAACTCAAACGCAGCAATAAAAATAGATGAATGGAACTAATGAAAAGAGAAACAGTTATACCGTTAAGTCTCCACAAAAGCATTTCTCTGAGCCTGATACTAAAGCTCAGAGCTTTCTTAAACTTATTTAAAGAAGTGGATGTCAGAGGTGAGGTTTAATGCTGCTTGTGTTTTTAGGGATTTGTGCGATTGCTGCTGTGTTGCTACAACAAGTCTGCAACAACACAAGAGAAGGCGAGGAAGCAAAGAAAAATGAGGCAGTTGCCAGAACAAATTTGTTCAAGCACTGCTGCTGCAGCTTCTCAGATGAGCAGTCTGCTCTTCTGAGTGTTGACTACCAGAATTGCAATGACCCTGGTAGTGCTGGAAAACAAATCAGAAATCCATATTACTCACATCTTACTCACACATCTTAGAGTGGTACAATGTTTGTAATTCCACATGCTTTGAGAAAGAAATGGAGGTTAGCTGTATCTCAGGGACAGAACAGAAAAAGAAAAAAAAAAGAAATAAAAACTTAATGACAGCAGTCCTTATTTTTGTGCTGAGTTTTAAATTCATTGCTGGATTTGTACAGCATAGAAACAATTAGGCCAAAGAACAAGAAGCATCTTGGCAAAAACCTTGAGGGTGTGAGAATCACCTTCATTTTAAGCAGCAGACAAAGACTACTGACTCAGACAGGATTGTGAAACACCTTATTACTTAGCGGAGACAGGAAGAGATCTGACCTTTCCTGACACTTTCGTGACTCCCCTGGATTTCAGTGGGACTTTTGTGTAGCCAGAGCATTGCTGGCCCAGGTTTCACTACAGCAAACATAGCTTTTCAAAGATGTAATGAGTTTCTCACTGATTCAAACGGAGGGCATGCATATCAGCATGGTTCACATGGCTTGTCCCCTACCTATCTGAAGCATCTTCCTGTGTAAGAACCACGTGAACCACGTGTGCATCTTACAGTGGTGCAGCCTTTGTTTTCTGAGGGAAGCAGTGAAGAAGAAAACTCAGTAGGAAAGTGCTCCACCTCTTCTTTAGCTTCAGCATGCAGTGTGCTTTAGTTTCAATGAACAGGTATCAAGAGAATGCCGACCTAGCTTCAGCAGTGAATGCACAAAGTAAATACATATGTACTTAATTAGTCATGCAGTTAACTGAGTCTTCGCCTGGTTTAGACTTTCCCATGTGCCAGAGTGCTGCCAATAATGTAAAGGGCAAAGGCTATCACAGCTGCACAGACAACGGGGGGGACAGACAGAGCAGCACATGAGGTGAGCATAAGAAAGAAACGTTAATTCCTCCAGGAACTGCACAGAAAGCAAATCGCTTTGTACTCTGCTTTTCCTTTAACTTTGCCACCCCAGTCCTGGAAACAAGCGCAAAATGTTTGCCACATGCAAATGAATGCAGCAACATTCCTAGTGAAACTAAAAACAGACTAGTCAGTGACCAGCCCTGCCTGCTGAAACGTGAATTGTATTAGCTGAAGTGGCCAGGCCCTGGGTTAGTTTCTGTTTATTTAGTTAAGTAGCAACCCGGCCTCATGTGGAATGAGCAAATCGAGAAATGCAAGCCAAGAGTGAGTTACATTTTCCCAGTGAAATGGAAAGCTTTTTGATGGTTAAATACAGTGATGTGCTGGAGTAACACTACATTAAATATTCAGCCAGGCTAAAAGCAGAGGAGTTTACCAAAAACAACATTTCTCCTTCTCCCACATCCACATTTAAGTCGAGAAATGCCTCCGTAATTATCTTTTGAAACTTCCCTGAGTTACTGTATCTACAGGATTACCATTTTAAAATCACAGTCTGCTATTCCAGTCCTATCAAAAGGCCCAAATTTATTTTCCCTTGTGTGGGTGGAGTTTTTCTAGCATCTCATTCCTTCCTCCCCTAGTCTCCATCTGAAGAATCACTCTTCAAAGGACAGCACGTCCCAGGCGGATAAGCGTAAGCACATCATAAGTGTTTCTCAATATGTAATTTTGTGGAGCTGCCCAGTCACATGTTGCTGGCATTCCTTTTCGTTCCCAACTGCTGAATGCTTTCAAAAGACAGCTAAAAGTCTGCAGACTGGTTTTCTGAAGCTGCTCTCAAGACAAGAGGTCACTGTGGCTGCTCCTAAGAGACTGCTGCGGCGAGCAGGACAGCAGGACAGGCGCTACTGGGCAAACGTGGTGTGCTGCTCTTGGATATAACCACCACTCCAGTCACAGCGAATTTCACTCGATGCGAGCTCACGCCCTCAGAACAGGGAACATTTCAGAGTACCTGCACACCGCCCTAGGCACACTTCTGGCACATAACACAGAAGAGAAATTGTCTTCAAATGCAGACTAGGGCCCTGATCCCCAGACACTCTCAATACCCAGACTTTCAGTTCAATACGGACAGGTGGCATAATGCTTTCTTTTCTTGCTATCACAAATGCACTTTAAGAAGAAAGCATTTGGGAGCGTTCATGTGTGTACTGGGAGAAGCAGCAGCTCCAGGTTAATTCTGGGTATGATGATACCAATGACCGAAGAAAAGATAAGATCATCTGCCTATCACTTCTCTGGATATCTACGGTTCCATCCATCAAAAAAGGATCCTTAAGATGATTCACAAGACCTCTGGAAAAGGTCTCCACCTCTAATATACATTAGAGGCCTACAGCATTCACAGTGGTTCAATACTTGCTAAATTATATAGGCCATTTTGTTTAGGATCATAGCAATGGCATGTAAGTGAGGACAGAAATACAAGGGCAAGAAGAATAGTCCACATCAACAAATGCATGAATGAGAGGTGCTTTGACAATGAACTTGGTCTTGCACATCACTCATCATGCAAGCAGCCTTTGCTGGTTCACGTCCATGTGCGTTTTCAGAGGTCTTTATATGAATGCAGATGAGCAAAAGCAGATTATATTTATATTTTAATAGCTTCTACAGAGCCGTATACCACTCCACAGTTCAACACATTATTCCTGCTTACACCCACAAGAGGTCCATGCACAGACACTGAATGGCATGTGCCCCTAAATGTTTCAGCTCTGTTCACGGCCATGTCTAAGCTCACGGTACACTCATACTCGGTCACTCTGAGAACCTCTGCAAGCTCCCCCAGACACTGCTCTGTGGGTGCAGCCTCCCGGGCTGCTTGGCTCAGCTGCGCTATAGAACATTGCTAGTAGTACAGAGGCGTTCACCAGTGTCTGAACATTGCAGAGTATTAACAAGCACCTTTAGAAAACACTTCACAAGGCGATTATTGTGGCTGTAATTTCTCCTGACAGGATGAGTCAGCTATATTATGTTGACAAAACACCATCTTGTTAAATCAGATGCCACGTGCTCTAAGAAACGTTTCTCTGACATTAGAAATGTATATGAATCATTACTCTACAAAACAGAGAAAGAGAGAAGTAATTCAACACATTGGTCTAAATCCTGCAATTCTTGTGTATTCTTCATTCAGTCCTAGCCCTGGCCAAACTCCACTGACCTTAATAAGGAATTTGGCTTAGTAATTATTTCAGGATTTAGCCATTCTCTGACATATGATATGAACTTGGAAGACATACACTTCAAGCCAAATGCTACTGATGATTACATTCAAAACTCCCAATTATTTAGTGTAATATATTTATATTTTTTTATATGGATCATCATCAAGTACCCAATCATGACATCTTTGCTCACGCTTAGTAGTACCTTACTTGAGCCTCCCTTTCCACATGAGGAATCCCTCAGACTTCAGTGGAGCAGAGTGAAGAGTACGGTGCTACCTGCTTGGACTAAGAATGACATAACTGAGCCCATGGTACTCTATATTTTGTACATCAGGCATTGGTTTAAGAACTATTACACCCTGCAATAATACTGCCTTGTATTATCTGATGCACTGTCACAGAGCAGCACAGACCCATAATAAAATGGAGCTTCGCCTGCCCTGGGACAGCTTACAAAAAAATGTATCATATGTACATGCAAATCTAAGGTCTTGTCTTAATGTCAAGTATTAGTTGTACTAATCTAACAAAAGGTCTGGGATGATTTATTGACTTCCATAAGTTAACCTTGCCCCTGGATCTAAGTTCAGTCTGAAGTAGGCACAAAAGTTCAGTGCTTCCCGTGCCAGGTTCTTCTTATTATTGTAACAAATAGAAATCTTTGTGGGAATTTTCAAAAGCTATTTTAGCCATGCAGTGCCAACTAGATCAGGTGTGCCACAAGAGTCACTGAAACACTTGGAGGTCTGCATGAAGTTATATTTATCTGAAACAATTTGTGACCCTGAGTCCCTGTAGTGAACTGTACTGGCACTGTGATCTTCCCATGTTGCAGCATTTACATTCTCTGCGTCTTGAATGAACGGGGAGGCGGGTGAGAGCACATTGCACTGCATGGAGTATTCTCCAGCTGCATCATCCAAACAGTAACACAAGGGAGACAGATGGTTACGGATCATTGTTTGGCAAAGATGCTACAATGACTTTATGAGATCTTTGCTAAGTTTCAGTTAAGAAATTAAGTAAGCAGAAACTGTAGATGTTAACTTTTTTTTAAAAAAAAAAAAAAAAAGAGAGAGAGAGAAATCTTCCTTAATCGTGGTATCTTTTACCAGAAGAGAGCTTCGGGGCTTATTAAAGATGGAGCTGGGAATCTCTTCCCTTAGTTTTCGTGTTTCCAAGGCTCTTCTTCAACCACACTGAAGTCTGCAGATTTGCCATTGGTTGCCAGTGTTACCTGCAAGTAATTATCATCAACAACCGACTTAAAGGCCAAGACACTTTTACAAGAAAAGTCATGACTTTTATATGGAAGATCATGATATTTACAGGAATTACATACACCATGCCTTATATATGCAAAATAAATTTATTCAGAATTCACAACACTCACAAATAGTGAGACAGTGAGACTCCTGTTCCTTTATTGTATTGACTAGAAAACATTAGGAGTAGGAAAAAGTTCCATATTTTCTTAGCCTTTATTGTAGTTTTGTTTTTAATAAATGCTTCAGATTACACACCTATCTCCTATTGATTTTTCTGGGTTATTTCATAAACGGTTTTTGTTTGGTTATGTTTTTGTTTCTTTGTTGTTTTTTTTCTATGTAGAAAGTTGTTATTTTTTCAGTAAAGTTCCCTCACAAAGCAAGATAGCTGATGTAAGGAAATAAAAAATGTGCAAGGCAGGAATAATCAAATATATATATCTATACAAACTCACCTATAATTACACAACCTTTAAAGAAATAGAGGAAAAGATACGTTGTGAAAGCAATTTTCATTGTATAACTATTTCTTGTAGTATATAAGTATGTAAGATTATGCCTATAGTAGGGCCAAAAATTCATAGCAATGCTACGTTTGTCTCATACAAATTAAAGCAAATTGTCACTCTTGTTTGTAAAGATCTGTGCTACATTTTTTAGTTTATAAGTACGGTAGAAGACGTATAGTGATCTACCAACTCATGGTAAACACCGGCCAATATGTTGCATAGCAGAAATGGATATAAATAAATCCGCACTTCAACAAAGATAGCGCCAGCCAAGTGACTTTAAAAAGGGAAGAGAAAAAGTAAAATACCAGTTTAACTTTACAAAAATAATCTAGGTCTGCATAACTGTGAGAGAACCCTTCATTTAATGCCAAGTGGATGGCTCAATCTTTCCTAACTTACCTTGTAGGTTAACATCCTCGGCTTCAAATGAAAACTTAAAGACACAGCTGAAAATCCCCATGCTGGATAAACTGGATGCATGGAAGCATTGGGACATGGAAATATGACAAAATGCACTGATTTTCAAATAAAGTCAAGCTTTTTCTTAGATAGTTGAAGGGGGAAATCATGCAAATACAGGAATGAACAGCTTTTTCAGAAATGAAAATCACATAGAGTCATGTGAAATGTGATAATAAAAAAATACAAAAATATCATGCAGTAACAACCACTCTACCCCAATATAAAGGTACACTACTTATTAAAAATATACATTGACCATGCAAAATTATAAACTACCAGCACTATACATGGAGTATAATACAGAAAGTAAATAGAAAGGACATGCTAGCAGATTAGCTTTTCAAAACTGATCAGAGTTGCAGTGAACTTTTTACCCCACCAGTGCATTTGACAGGATGAAGGTATTTCTCTTCACATTTAACAACTGGATGTTTCAAATCCCCAAATCCTATGCTGAGTTGATTTTGCTACTCTAACAATTATCTGTAGACCACTTCAACATGATCCAAATGCTTTGCAAATGTCAGCATGCATTCATAGCTTATAAAGTGGACTGTAACATCACATCCTTTTGGCAGCTTGCAAACAGACAAGTGACCCGCTCAAAGTTGGTCTTGTGCTCAATGCAGTAAATCCTGGTTCTTTTCACAAGTTTAAAAGTGCAAAGTGAGATCCTGAGCAGAGAAAACCTAAAGCAACGGAAAAGGTCAAAACCCTTCAAGCTCATGCATCATTGGTCCCAGATTTCTACTAAAGGGTGTGCTTAGGATGACTTACTGCACAATACGTCTGTGTCTCTGAGTTAAACCAATGACTCAACTGATGGAATGATAAGAGAAACTGAAGGAGAAAAGAAAGTACAGTAAATACTGTATCAAAGAGTTACTACTTTCTAGTTTGGCTTGGATCTCTGAGAGACTGGAAGGAGATATTTTCAGTATGCAGCTCCACAAACCAATCAGATGTTTCAGAATGATCTGTGGTAGCTGAATTTCTCTTAAACTCACTGAAATTAGAATATTCTATTTCACTGAAAAAGTTTTCTAACATAAATATTCAAAATAATCAAAAAGTGAGTTGTTGGTGGTATTGCTTATTTTTAATGAGAATAAAATCTTTTATTGAATAAGATCTTTGTTTTCAGTGAATTTCTTCCTTCCTTCAAGATTTTATCTCTTAAGTTTCCTTTCCTTTTCTGAGACATGCAAATTAATGACTTTTTAATTTGAGGCAAACAGGTATTCTCATTCAATTTTAAAATAATTTTTCTTTCATTTTTCTCACAGGAAAGAATAGGTTTGAAGAAGAAGGGAAGAGGCATATCAGAACAAAATGTTTGATTTCATTGTAAAAAATCACTTTATCAAAAACGTGGAAGATTTGGGAAAAAAAAAAAAAAAAAAAGGAATAAGTTGGATGATTTTTTGTGTTATTTTTGTTTGACTTTTTTTCCTGAATTCAGTATTTGTCCCCTAGAAATTCAGGTTTGGCCTGACATTATCTAGAAATAAGCATTGGAAAAGAAGATTAATTCTAAAGAACATTTCCAGACAGGGTGGAGATAGGTGAAAGTGGTAGAACAGGACTTATATTTCCAATATATACGGTGATTTGCTAAAGGACTTACTGTAGGCATTTACAGTTAGAAAGTGGCTCAATTTTTTCAACTGAAAGATGCAAGAGAATCTGATTGGCTAAGGTAGGCTCGCTGTTTTACAGACCACTATGTGTAAATTATATATATATATAAGTACATATATATATATAAATACTATGAAATGAAAAGATCCAGCTTGTTTTGGCCTCTTACTCCTCCTTTTCAATTAAAAACTCTCTCGACATTAAACTGCCCTGTCCTAGTGGTGGGTGCTTTGCAAACCTCTAGCCACTAGCCATCCCAACCATTTTCTCCTTCAACTGGTGGGGTTTCTCAAGCTCACTTTACTCTAATCAAACAGTAATATCATTACTATTAGTAATCCATGTTAGTTACAGCAAGGATTAGAGAGAAAATACGATATTCGTGTCTTAATGACCCAGGAACAATGATGAAAGCAAAGCATAAGCATGCTGTATGAGTGCAGGAGCATTCTGATGCTAAAGTGCATTCAACACGTCCATCTGAACAGCATATCATGGAAGGCAGTCAGCAAATGACTACACCTATATTTGGATTGCAGATACCCTTCATTTGAGTTGGCAAGTAAGTTCTTTGTTGCCAAAGAAAATTAGGTAAATGTCCATAGAAGGTGATGCCATGTTCTCGGTGTCTTGGCATATTCCATAATACGCTGCATCTTGCCTTTTCATATGTAAACAAGGTACATGATTTTTCTCCTCAAATGACAACTTTTAAGAAGAGAGCCAAAAAACATCTTTTGAACTGCTCAAACTCATTAAAAACGTCTGGGGTTCATGAAGCTTGTTGTCACTTTGTTATTTGCGGAACAATTTGAAAAATACATGCAGGTTAAAAAATAAAATAAAAATAAAAATAAAATCAAGCATGCAGTGCTATATACATGTCTCAATATCCATAAATGTGAAAGGTACCTTGCATTCATCTACTATGACTGAGTTGTGAGCTGCAAAAACACATTGGTTTGAGTTGTTTTCCCTATGATTTTTCATGTCGTCATAGATTGACTGAGTCTTGGTCATTTCAATGTCTTCGTGCCCTTTATGATGAGAATCAATGCTGTCAAGTTCTGCCTTGGAAAGGTGGTAGACGATGCCAGCACCGAAAGAATCCCCCACTACATTGACTGACGTTCTCATCCGGTCCCTACAAAAGAAGCAAAAGGCTGAATGGCATGAGAAGAAGAAAAAGTGGGGCCTGAAAGCCCTGTTAAAGTCACAGTTACTGCATTTATTTCAGAAAATTTAAGTCATCTTTAGAATAAAAAGATGGTGGCTTTCAAGTGAAATTGGAAAAGCTTGCTTTCCCATGGGACTTGTACAGACAGGAAGGATGTGCAAACTCCCATGTCTCAGCTGCTCACACTCATGGATTTTGGCAAGGAGCTTGCAGAGGGGACATAGCCAAACTGAAGAGCTGTGCTTCACTGAAATCTCCCCAGTGCCTGCTTCTGGAGCTGGAGGTTTCAGTGTCAGGGTGCCAGGCTCACATCATTGCCCTTTGTTTAATTTTAATTTATCAGGGCACTTAACTTACTTAACGCAGCCAGAGAAAAGGGTTTTGGATCTGATGAAGTGTTCTGATTGCTGGGACAGATTAACAAATGGCCTCTCCCCTTACTCTCAGCAAGCACACAAGCACACTACTGGGAAGAAATGCCTGAAATATCTCCATAAAGCTCAGGCTATCGTAGCTCCTCTCCTGGCATCATCTTTACAGATGGTCATCTGTCAGCATGGCAGCATGCCCGCCCACACGACCGTATGCCAGCACTCAACAGATGAGCCAGCCAAATATAGGTCACAGCCTAAAAAATGATGAGCCCGTGACAGCACTCCAGTAGCAAGTGCCCCTCACTGTGCACAGGTGCCAGAGGCCCACGTGCTCCAATACAGAGAAATACGTCTCTTGGCACTTCCCGACAGACTGACGTCGGACAGACGTGCTGCCTTACTCCTGCCTTGCGTTTACAGTGTGACTCTGTCTGCCGGCAGTGAAGTCATGGTTGTGGATTTTCCCTCATTGCAGAGTTCTGCCCAAAACCTCCCAAAAAAGGTCAATGGTCTTGCAGAGAACTGCAGGACTGTGAGCTCCTGCTATCTTTCCTACCGCAGACAGGCTGCATTGCACAATTTGAAATTGTTTAAACCTGCCAGCTAGATGTGAAGAGCTAATGGGTTTGGTGTTATATCTTAGCTGAAGCAGACCATTTTTATTTTTAACCAAAAGGAAAAAAAAAATCCATAGAAGAAAAACATCCTTCCAGTTTTGCTTCACATGAATGAAGTGCTTTACAGATCTCATCCCATGCCTGTGAAGAACATTTTAAAGCCAAACAGAGTTGCAGAATAGGAAAATATGACTTTCCAAGAGTTACTTTTAATTAAGACCATCAAATATACTGTACCCTGCCATATAGCTCCACAAGAACACCTGCTTAATTTTAATTTGTATGAGTACCATTAAATTCTGAAAGGATGCATTGATGCCAGATACGGGATAGTGTAAAAGTTGCCCAAAAAATGAGGAGGAGAGAATACATAAATATAATTGAGGCATGATTTACATTTTGAATGGGTCATTTGAGGAGATGTTTCAGCCCATATTCATGAATTACTAGCCAAGAGATTCAGCAACACAAACTGCACACTACTGCAGAACATCCTATACTGAGTGAGCTGAAGTAAACAAACTTTCTTACAACCAGACAAAATCTCAGCTGTCAGGAATCAGCACCAACGTGCCATTGTCATCTTTTGGGGCTAAGGACACCTTGAAGAGAAGCAAGAAGACTGTATTTACTCTTCTGTTAAAAACAGTCCACCAAATAATTCCAGCAATGCTGGAACGATGTAAACAAAATTAATATAGGAAAGCTGCAGTCTAGTCAATTGCCCAATACAGCTACTTCTGTGCTGTCCATAACAGATCCCAAGAGGAACAATGGGAAGGAAAGTCAAAGTTCTCTCTCAAAAGCCAACTCAACATCTGGTAAGAATGTGCTTTGGAATTACTGGGAAGAAATCCTGATAAATATTAATGCCCGATTTCTACCAACTGGCATAAATAAGAACTGGAAGCTTGCCAACGTTGGCAAGAGGAATAGAAAGAAGAGGAAATGTAACAGGCCCTCTTGCCATTAATGTCATTGTATCTAAATAGTAATCTTCTATGCAAAAAAGGTGCTTCTGCTCCCTGAAAGCTTGAAAACCCGGTGTATCAACCTTACTAGATTTTGGAAAGGAGATTAAAATCTTAGCACACCTGCTAAGACAAAGAGTTGGTGAGGTGTTTAACTTGCCTTACCTCTAAGCTGTTGTAGGAAAGAGCTTTGGTTTTCTACAGTTTAATTCAATTCATTTGAGGCCTGTTTGTAACATTAGATGTTGACTAGGTACAAATGTTCTGAATTTAGATCTAAGCCAAGGAACTAAGTGAGAACTCAAGCAATCTTTTTCCGAACTACTGAACAAAGGTAGATGCTTTAAATACTGGAATGGCGGCCCAAGCCCATTTTCTCTAACTCCTCTTTCCTCACTGCAAAATACCACTGTATTTGAGGTTGGGCAATGGTATTTGCTAAGCTTGTCAGTCTCCCATTTGGAAGGTAGCCAGCTTCTAGCTGGAGCAAAAGAAGCTTGTTTCATTCCAGCTGTTGCCATATAATTACTATTCTATTAAATGTCACTGCTGTGCTGTACTTAGTTTTAAATTGAGAAAACTGTGAGAGTTGTGAAATCTTGGGAAACTTGCCTGGTGAAAAAACTCACTCTGTATGTATGCGTGGGAGGGGGAAAGGTTTAGCAACCTAATCTCTAGATATTGGAGAGGCTTGAGAAGAAATCGATACAGAAACCTTCTGGCTCCAATTTGAAGGAGAAACTGCCAAGTTTAAGGCCAATGAAAAGTCAGCTTTGTGTTGTACCATGACCAACTCTTGCGAAGCTGGTTTTGGTAAGACTGCAGTTTCAGATGATGGCGGTATTGTAAAATCAATTGATGTTCTGATAGTTTCTTTCATTGGCAATATTTAAAATCTTACAAAATTGGCCATTTTGGACATTTTTGAAACTTTCACTAACTAGAATTCAAATGCTATAAACAGAACTATTCCAAAATATTTCTGCTTGTTCCAGAAAAGTGGCTAGAATAAGGCCTCACAGGTTTTCTTAACTTTCTCTTCTACATTCTGATATAAATACTGCTGTAATTTTGTTTTGTGATCTAAAGAAATGGAAGAATAAAATGTTTGTAAGTAAAGAAAACTCATTTTTATGAATTTTTATTTTAGATATTCATAGATCTGGTTTGTATGCCTAAAAGCTCATTCAAAAGTTGGTTTGTTTGTCCCTTTTTAACATCACCAATGTGAGCAACATCTTTTGCATATCTCATTAGACCATCATGGCTGCCACAACACAACCACTAGAAGATGGAAAACAAAGCTATAACCCCTTGACATATACTAATTAGCATCACGCTTTCACCAACAAACTTTGTCTTAACTTCACAGCACTAGTGGCATAACAAAGAGTTTTACATCTCCTTTTTTATCTCTTTTCCCTTTTCCCTCTCTCTTTCACTTTTGAGTCACTCTGGAATTGCACTGCTGATTGTCAGGCCATATGGATCCAAAACCAACCTTATTAGCTGAAAGGTTCTTTGTTTGGCATTTCTTCTGGAAAGATACCATAAAATATTTTTTTCAGGAGTGCTTTCTTTCAATCTAGCCTTCCTATACTTACATTCACTGCTGCTACAGCTCCACTGTACGGAGGTTTTTATTTCTCTAAGCAGGGCTGCATTAGCCAGGGGTAACAATTCCCAAGCTGAGCCTGAAATACAACAGCTACTACTGGATCACAGCTGCTGGTAACTTACAGATCTGAGGTTTGCTAGTGTGGGCAGAGCTTCTCAGTCCACAGGAATATTTTTAAATGATATTTCCCTACAATAACAAAACAAAACAAAAAAAAACCCACAGGCTCCTTTTACACATTCTTCTACCAACTGCAGAAACCTACCTATTTGTCTCACTTTGAGAGCCAGTAAAAATATACACTTAAAATGAGTATCCGCTTCCCTTTTGCGCTGCTCTTACCAGCTGCAGATTCCTATACCACCTTCCTATTTTCAGCCATGACCTCATAAATTTAACAAACCCACAGAATATCACATTTTTTCCCTTTGCCAGCTGTACTCTGACGGCTGAACCTGCCTCATTTTGCCATTCTGAGTCATGATATCATCATATTCATTTATATATAAAATATGTAAGTCATCTTTTCCCTTTGCCTTCCCAACCTGTAAGTTCCTCTTTCATTTTTATCTGAAGCAGAAAAGGAGCTGTGTGCTATTTGTCACAACTTAGTGACAAGACAGATAATAATAGATACAGTTCAGAAGTCATGTCAGGGGATTGACCAAGATCGTGAATTCTTCTCAATAAGTTAAAAGATAATGACAGGGAAAAAAAAAAAAAAAAAAAAAAAAAAAAAAGAATCTATTTCATCTTAACATTTTCAACATTTCTATTCCTTCTTGCATATTTTTAGCAGTGTATCTGATTGAAAGCTACCGCAAATGAGCAGCTGAGGCTGCAAGTGTAGGAGAAAATGCACAAATAGTACAGAAAACTTACATCTCCCCTTCCTGGCACCACAGCTGGCACAATATTAAAATACTTCTTTACTATATAAAAGTATATTAAAGGAGAGATGGCTGTTGAGCAGAATATTCTGTGCTGTAGCAGTACAGGACAATATAAAACCTCCTAAAGACAAGAACAACTTAGTAGGCTACTGAGTCACTGTTGGCTTTGCATAGGTGATGGAAAGATGTCTACAGTGTCAAATGACAACACAAGAAAAGATATGGCACAGCATATACTTTGTATTTACAGCTTCTGTATTCATATGTTGAACAACAAAAGCTTTGGACAACTATCTGTGGGTTAGCTGTTTCTTGTCAGAAGACTAGCAATGGCACTGAAACCATTTGGTTTGATGGATGGACATGGATCTCAAGTCCTTGAAAATGAAAATTGGGCTTTCCAGTTTGAAGGATCTGTCAGTAAAACCAGGCTGTGGAATGACCATTCTTCTAGTTTGCTTTCTGATTTTTTTCTTTATATCCTGCTCTATAACAGTTTCTATCTTCAAAGCATTTTAGTTTCTTATGTACAAAAAGAAATTTAACTTCTCCACTATAAGCAAAACATTTTATAATACAAATGCCCAAATTTCCCAATAACATGTTGACAGCATGGTTTTGGAACCCCCTATTCAGCATTTATCCTTTATTTTAGCATAGAACTATAAGAAACAGAAAGATGAAAACAGAGATAAGAAAACTGCAGTTGATCTATGTCTGTGAAAGGGTGGCATCATTAAGAAGATTAAAATATATGAATGTGGGCCCAAGGTTCATACAAGAAGACGGTTCACAGAAACAGACTTCAGTAGTTCTATAATATTTTGTATAACCCGAGATGCCTATTTGCTTCTTTGCTTTATCTGTAGAAGAAATTCTTAGAGTTCTTTAAGATCACTAGGTGAAAAACATTACAGACAAGCATTCACTATTTTTTCTGCATCAAGCAGTGGAGTCACCGTAACTTACAAAAGCCAGTCAACAGCAACAAGCAAACTGATGTCCTGGGTAGGGAGACCCACTGCAGTAAGGATCAGAAGCATAGTGACGAGTCCCGCACTGGGAATACTGGCAGCTCCGACACTTGCAAGGGTGGCAGTCAAACTGCAAAAACAAAAACCAAATGGGAGTAGCAGGAAGGGAAACATATACTTTCATTGCATACTCATGTGATCAATTGGAAGGTCTTATTTTTAATGAGTTCTTCCCTTAAAAGAGAGTACAATAAACCATGGCAAATTTAGGCCATAATTTTTCATGCTTGTGTTCTTCCAAAAATACTTATCTTGGGGAGGTCATTTGGGGGTTGTAGTGAGAACTATGAGAGAGTTGTTAGAGAGTTTTATATTCTGTAAGTTTGTTACAACTTTCAAATCTTTGGCCTGGAGAGTGTTTTTTTGTTTGTTTGTTTGTTTTGTTTTGTTTTGTTTTGTTTTGTTTTCTGATTTCTACCAACACATTAGTGAAGGGGTTATTGAATCCTGAGTTTTGGTCATGTAGACTTGCTGCAGTTTGGTAGCTACAGGCTGAATTTTCAGGGCAGTTCATTTATGTTTATTTTATGGAATTGTAAGACAATGGTTGAGAGAAAGTGGTTATTATTGAGTGCAGAAGAGTAAAAGTCATTGTATCCAAATCCTATAGTACAAGCCAGTAGTGTACCAAGCCTAGATACAAATAACCCTACATAAAAATGCAAAATTCTTCTGATTGTTTCATAAATCCAAAACTGTACTTGCTTCAGCCTCTCTTCTTTTCTTGACGAAGACCAATAGAGTGAATGCCAATGTTCCAAATGTTGGACTTTGTAAAAAACATAACGTAGATCATAACAAATATCAACATCACAGGCCAATACTATGCAGAATGGAAAGTAAATTTGTCAGAGAATAAGCCAAGAGGAGGAAAGAAGGAAGAAAGGAGAAGGAGAAGGAGAAGGAGAAGGAGAAGGAGAAGGAGAAGGAGAAGGAGAAGGAGAAGGAGAAGGAGAAGGAGAAGGAGAAGGAGAAGGAGAAGGAGTATTTGTGAGTTTACATCCAGGTTGTTTGAATATCTCCAGTATCACATGCTGAGTTTGGCAGACAAAACCTAATAACTTCCCATTCATTTGTGTTGGTACCTAGAGGGATAATTCTTGTCATATCATTGCAGCAAAAATGTGCTGTTACATGAAGAGGAGAATGAATGTTTTTCCTACAGATACCCCAGAGGTGCCTGCTGCTTAGTATATGCAAGTCACGAGTTGGTGAGCCCAGCCTTAAAATAGCGGGGTCAGACAGCACTAGTGAGTCAGCACCTCAGAGGTACTGAGGGGAAAAGGAGTAACTGTGCTCCAGGCTTAGCAAATCTCTTGGCCAACATCTGATTCCTGACTTTAATTGCCCTGATCTTATTTTGGTTTAAAGAGTAGCACCTCTAAAATTACTGTTCTCATTTTCATCAGGACATATGAGTCACTAGGGTCTAGCATTTGCCTTCATTAGAAGCAGCACTGCACCTTTTAGAAACCTTGGTTTTTCTACTTTAGGGGCTGAGGCAAGAGGTAAAGAAATGGAAAATGTGCTGATAATATAGCTGGGTAAGAAACATAGAATTATACTTCCCTATGCAGGAGTTTCTTTAGTGCTAAAAAGGTTTAATAAAAGAAAAGTTGGGTGGGTGGGTGAAAACTACAGGAAGAAGGCAAACTTGGCAGCCATCACTTGTGGTTTGCATTTTAACTATTCAAAATGTTAGGCCTGGTGTTTTTATCGAGTTTTCCATTGTACATTAACTTTAGCTGCAGCAGTCATGACTTTGCCTTTGTTTTTTATTAGTCACTACATCTAATGAGTCTTAAAACTCCATTACAGTAAACAGTCTTCAATCACTCTTACCCATTTTGAATGGGTATTTTCTTTGTCTTTCTAAAAATTCAGCTTTGTCCTTAATATGATGATTTGAAATGAAAAGATTAGAGCCAACATTCTCTGGGTTAGAGAGAAAAAGCCTGAGTGTGCCTAGACCATGCAGCAGGCAATCTCACTCTCAGGATGCTTTATAGTCAGCCCATTGTTTTTTACTGTTTACAAAAGTCACAGAAAAAGAAAAAAAATATACACACACACACACAAAACAAGACATAGATAAAATTTTAGGTATATTTTTCTCTTCCAGTGTTTATAAACAGGTACATTCTAGAAAGTTAATGCCCCATATATCACTCGGGGCATCCCTCTGTACTAAAAGGCACAGCATTGGACAAAGCATGCTGAATTTCATCATGTATTGTCAACTGCAAAACTTCATAAATCACCACCAGCGTGCATTGAGGCTGCAAATGATGGAAAATTTGCATCACTAGAGAGCCAGGACCCATGTATATTACATTCCTTTGCATATCATTATTACAAATCCATGTGTTTCATAGCAGTTCCCACAGCCACTGAGAAGACATCCAACCCAAAGCTTCACATTTTATAGTCTTTAGAAACAAAGCTTATGAGTCTTTTGAACTGACCTCACAGTAACTATCTGGCCTCCATCCAGCTCAATTCCATTCATCTGTGCTATGAAGATGGCAGCCACAGCCTCATAAAGGGCAGTTCCATCCATGTTAATTGTTGCTCCAACAGGAAGAACAAACCTTGTTACACGTTTATCAATGCCTAGATTTTCTTCAAGACACCGGAATGTGACAGGTAATGTTCCAGCACTGAAGGAAAGAAAGCAAATAAGTACAGAAGACAATGTTATAATATAATATATACATGAGGGAGCAAAGTCAAATTCTGCTCTCTGTGTTTACACTTTCTACTTGTACTTTCAGCTGTGATTCAAGCTATCTTGGCCAATTTTTCAATTACATCTACATTTAGCTGGAGGTGGGACTGAGGCCAAGACACAAACATGACTCAAGGAGGGATGAGAGCTTGAGAGATTGTAGATGAAGCTTTCAGACTCCTCAATGAGTTATTTCTTGCATTTTGTTCAAAAAGACCAGTTCCAGATGTTTTCTGATGGACAGAACTACATGCAAAGGGACAAATATTTCTTTGACTGTAAATTTTCTCTGAAGGGATAAATCAGTGCTGCATCAAGGAAGGAAAAAGCCAGGCAATAGCATACACAGCCCATGCAGTTCCCAAACATTGGAGGACAGGAAAGGATATGAAACATGGTTGGAGGATAAGAAAAGAAAGGAAAGACGGCTGGAAAAGGGAACGGCTCTTTGCACAGATCCACAGTGCGTTGCCTTTGTGGGAATGGTTAAGGCTATTACATTAACTTCCTTAAAGTAAAACTCCACCTAAAAATACTCTTGAAAGCAGAACATACTCTCTGTATGATTATTACTCCCTGTAGATGCAAATATCTTCTACTTCCCTTCCCTAGCAGGTCTGCCTGCCTCAGGCAAAGGACTTGCTGCAACAAGTATGAAAGCCACACAGGAGCATGTTTTGGTTCCTTTCTTTTCCGTGTTATCTCTGAGGTCAAGTCCACCACTAAATGAAGTTGGTTGCTGCCTGAAAAGCTGTTCTGAAAACAAACTTGACCTGGGGAAATTCCTTTTAATTGGTGTTTCATACAGAAGCAGCTGGAGCACATCTGTTGTGGTTTATTTGAGTCTTCATCTGAGTTGGCAGAATTTCTCAAAGGCCTTCACCATTACATACCACTAATGCTGGTGTCATTGCCCCTAAAAATTACTATTTTTCTTATAAAGGAGTAAAGAACTAGACTCACCAAATTTTCTCTGATAAATACTTACAGCATATTGTTTCTAGTGCCTTGTAACTTCAGAGTCTTTCCAACTCTTTCATTCATCCATTACCAGAGAGATGCTATTGGGTACAAAAACTGTCATCTTTCCATTTTACAGATAATTAAACCAAGGAAAAGGCAGATTGAAGGATGATTAGGTACCTAACTATAAATATGTAGTGCCCTAATAAATGTCTTCAGCTGTCTGGAACAAGCACATGAGGTTGATATACATCACATGAGATTTATTGGAAACTCAAACCCTTCTATACTGGCAGACGGACCTAAGTCACTTTTTAAATGACTCCTTGTTCCACTTCTCTGGAAACAGGACTTAGAAGACATAGGCTTGTAGATCCCCAACTTGTACTCAAATGATCAGACCATTCTTTGTTTAGAGAGGTGATTTTTTTAGCAGTTGCCAATAAACCAGATACACATTACCATTCATTTGTTCTAGCATATTTAGAAATATATTTGCATTTAGGGTTTATTTTACTGTGGTTTTAATTGGAGTTAATCAAGTGTTGAATATTCTGCGTTTTTTAGCCAAATCAGAGACAATTTATAGTTTCTAAAAGCAATGTAGTATTCACCCATAGGTTAACTCTAACAGCTATATTTATAGTAAATAGTGGAAAATATCTGGTGAGTCATTAACTAATGTTTGCTTGTCAATTTTCAAGTCAGTTCCACGATCACTTTGCCTTCTACATTAAAGCTGTTCCCACATCTTATTAAAAGAGAAATAGAAGTAGTTGACTGACACACATTGAAATCCAGTCAGATAAGTTTCTTTTTCTTCAGAAATACAAATCCCACCTTACCTTTGCTTTCACAAATGAGATCATCAGCACAAGGTGTGTATCAGCCATAGGTTAACAGTGTTGTAATGAACCCTGGCTGGCTCAGCAGGCAGGGACTGCAAGTATCTGCAAATATATGCATATATCTTGTGTATCTCCAAAGATATGCAAATATCTTCCCCCTTCAGTTCTGCCACCATGAGCAAGGACAGGTTTGCAGACCATGGAGACAAGGTTTCTTTATTAAAAGAGCACAGTAAATAGATGCCTTCCATGGTTTCTCAGCCTAGCCAAACAGAGGGCCTTAATAGGTCCCTGAATAGAAATAATTTCTGGCTCCCCAAAGTGCCAGGTTAGACTGTATGATGGTGACTGTTGTCATGTGGTGATCTGCCTGTGGAGCTACAAACTGGTCCACTTCCAGTCCGTCAGTAATTCAGATCTCAACAGCAGTCAGGTGGTAAACGTAGCACCCAGATAAATCCATACGCTGGAACCATTTAGAATCCCCTACATTGTTCCATTGTGATCCTCAAAGCAGGGAAAACAAAAAACAAAAAACAAAAAAACTTCATACTGAAAAAACAAACTTGAAAATGTTGTGTATGCACACTGCAAAATGTTAATGAAAAATCTAGGTGGAAACTTGAATATTCAAGTGCAGAAAAGCCTTAGGGAAATTGTGGTTTAGTCAAACTCCTGGCCAGACTGCATCTCCTATAATGCCATGGTGTTTATGAAAGAACTGCAGAATTACTGAGGTTGGAAGGCACCTCTGGAGCTCACCTATTCCAGCCACTCTCATCAATGCAGAGGCATCTAGAGTAAGGCACACAGACTGTGCCCAATTGAGATTTGAATATCTCCAGGGATGTTCCACAAATTTTCTGGGTAACCTGTGCTCCACCACCACCTCGGTAAAACAGATTCTTCTGTTCAGATGGAATTCCTTGTGTTTTGATTTGTGCCCACTGCCTCTTGTCCTATCACTGGGCACCACTGAGAAGAATCCTCCTCCATCGTCTCTACACCATCCCATCAGATATATATGCACATCAGTGATGTCCCCTCAGAGTCTCTCATCCAGCAGAGCAGTTTTAACCCAGAGGCAGATGAGTTACTGTTCTGTTGAGGTGTTCCTGAAGTCAAGATGGCTCAGGATTTTTGATGGTCAGTTTTGAATTTGGTTTTGTTGTTTTTACCTTTCCAATTGTAACAAGTTCTTATTTTCTTCAGAAAGAAAGTGTTTATTGAGGAAAAACATTTATTATAAAATATACTATTTCATTGGAAAAAAAAAAATCAACAGACAATCTGCAGGTTGCCCCAATGCAAAGCATTGGTTTATTACTGGGAGTTATTCAGTTGCCTACCCCATTTTCTGAGACTGGTCTGTGTGTTACCAATGAGTCTAATATGCTCAGATTGTTACTAAAGTCACCTTGTTCTGCTAAATTGGATGAAAAAATAAAGTGAAGGTTATAGTAACACCTTGCCACTGTTTGGGAACCAGGTTCTGTTTAAGCCTAATATGCATAGATTTTTTTTGCATAGAGTTTTTAATATACGCATGGATTTTTTTTCCAAAGAGGAAAGGTCTTGGATGCACTGAAATCTTCACTGAGATCAGCAGATACACACAAATCCTACAACCCCACTACAGCCTCTGCTGCCTGCTACCATGATACTTCAAAACAGGAAGCAACTGGTAGCCACAGGACACCTTCATCCATTTATTTCATACAAGAAAAAAAAAAAAAGTAGTTTTTATTCAATGGCATAAAATGATTTTACTGTGAAGGTCAAAACAGCAGATTTATCACTTCTAAACAGCATCTAATAACCTGCTAAAAAATTTATTAAAGGTGTTATTTCTTGAGTGTACCTGGAAGCTGTGCCTAGTGCTGTGATCCATGCCTGGAAAATCCCAGCAAGGAATGAAAAGGGGCTTTTCCTCGTTATCACAAAGTAAAGCAGAGGCAGGAAGATCCCTCCATGGATGACAAGACCCACAATCACTGTTACCATGTACATGCCAAGTTGTCTAGCAACTACTTCTAAATCCTTGATTGCAATGATTTTTCCACAGATGAGGCAAGCAATGCCCAAAGGGGAATACCTGGAGAAAGAGAACAAGCATAAACAGAACTGGTCTTTGCAGCATGCAGTCATAAAATTAGTGCTTAATATAGACTGGAGACAGACTAGGGGCTTCCCAGGCTCAACTCTGAGAACCAGGCCAGGAAGTGATGGAAATTCAATGGATAGCTTTCACACCTCTTTTAAAAACACTGCCCATTTTCAGCAAATTCCACATCTACTTTATTTTATTCTATTGCACTGAATGGAATATGCATTTTCCTGAATAGTCTTTGATCCTGGAATAACATCCTATGATAACATGATAATGTTATACAGGCTTGCACCATTATGCAGAGTACTGCAGTAGTTGTTTTTAGTTTGTGACTTTGAAAATTCATTGTTCAGGTTTCAGGGAGTTGTTTAATTTGTTTCAGCTAAACACCATGCTCCTGAGAGTGTTGTTAACTACTGGAGTTACCACAGGAGTTCCAGCTCTTGGTGCAGAGAAGTCATAAACCAAACAATGTAATTCTGCATGAAAAAGTGCAGTTGTCTTTATAAACACACACACACAGAAGCTGCTTCTAGCAACAGCATTTCTTTAACAATTCTAGACAGAGGTGAACAAGTGGAGCTCCCAGCACTGAGGAAAGAGAAATAAAAAGCACATCAGTAAAAAACAAAACAAAACAAAAAAAAAAAAGTGCAGTGAATTTCTTGAAATGTGAATGGCTTCCTGCCATTGCAACACTGACCACTACGGAAACTTTATAACTTCAGTAAGGCATTAAGTCTTGGGCATACCAACTGGTGCTAAGAGAAGTAAGAGTAAATTCTCTCTCTTGTAGTGTTATGAGAGTATAGTCACTGTCTCTCTCCCTGTACAGTCGAAAGCAGCAAATTACAATAACTACTGAAAGAAGAAGAGCTTTGTGATTAAAAGCAACGGCCTTTTTATGTTGCAAGATCCCCTATAGAAAAGCAGAAGCATAACAGGAATATAACAGGAATCATTGCTTCAAGTTCTTTTGTTTGACGCATTTCCACATCTGCATCACTCTTCCTACCTGCATCACTCTTGCATAAGATATCCTTTGAAACACTGATGATGCTAAAGGTTCATGCTTTGGGCACCCTTCTCCCTTTTCTATAAACTTTACCTATCTAAAGCCTCATAGAAAAGGTAGATTGCAGCCTTGTGACTCATGGAATAATTTCCAGGGACACCTGGGAATCACAGGAAGCAGTGAGCCAGGACACATGCATTGTATTGGAGTGGCTACTTCTGCTCTTAAAAGACCTTGGAGGTGCCAAAGGTAGTAGTATGATGCCACATGCAGCAGTGTGCTTATATGTTCTGAAAAACTGGTTTTGTGTGATCTGGACAGGTTTGGCACTGTGTACACATAGCTCTGGGGAAGCCCTCAGAAGAAACAGAGAGAGAGAGTGAGAAAGAGAGAGAATCCCCTTCCAGAAATGTAAACAAGGGTTCAGTCTTAATTGGGTAAGTCACTCCCTTGAAGGCAAGCCAGGTCCCGTTATTACAGATGGGTGTACTTCAAAAACAGGATGGGTACCTTCCAGTGACCCCACTGCTGTGAGCCTCAAAAACTCAAGTTCTGCAGAAACTAGGGGGGGAGGAGCTATACATCACTGAAAGCCACTGGAATTTTATTTGCTGGTAAAGTATTTTTATTACAGAAGACAGCAAATAAAGTATGTCTTCAGGCTTCTTTGTAATTATACCTTCTAGCTAATATCCTGGGATTATGCTAACCTCCCAGGAAGATTTGGATGTTCTTAATGTGGGGCGGTGTTGTATGCTTAGGTGTCCTTCTATATAGTGAACTTCAATAAGAAATGTGGCATTTGAAGGTCTTTGCCGGTACCTGCATGCCTTGGATTTTAGTAAACAAAGAACAAAACCTGTCATCTTCAGAAATATTTCAAAATCATTCCTAAATAGTCCTCAGCAAATAGAAATAAAGCTGTTCTGGTTCTAACATAGCGGTTAAGGCTTTAAAAACCCAAGTATTTCATTCCATTGTTTACTAACAAACCGTGTTCACTACATGCTATATAGGGGTCTTGTAAGATTATTTAAATCTTTTTTTGTTGCTGTTGTTGTTCTAGAAGATAGGACTTTGAACTTACCACATGATCATAGTTACTAACTTCATTACAATCTCATTCAGAATGTTGAAGAAATCCACCATCATCTTGGCCTGTTCTCCCATTTTCCCCATAGCAATGCCAAAAGCAATAAAGAATCCTATCAAACCTATAGGGAAAAAAAATGCAACACAAAGAAAAGCAAGTAAAAACACATTTTTAGAAAGTTCTTGTACCTAATCAATGTCTTCATACTACCTGCTAATCAATTTTTCAGAATGATTATAGTGCATTGCACATCTCTTCGGTCTTTTTAACATGATCTCACCCTCAACTTTCATGATCATATTCAGAAGAACATCCTTTACTCTAATATTTTACTACATTCCAATTGAAATTGGAACTATGTTTTTTTCTTTTTTTTTCTGAGTTGATCTGATCAGTAAAAAAATACCTATACCCTAATCTTTTCAGTGCCATGCAATTGCTAGAAACCTCATAGCCCCTGGCAAATGGGAGAGTCAACACAGCACCACACCACGACTGTTCTTTGTTGCTAAAACAGTCACTAGAGACCAAAAGCATTTTTGGCAAGCTTAAAAAAAAAAATAAAAATGGCAGAGTCAACCTACAGACTAGTCAGTTTTGTAATTTGAAGTCCCAGAACACACTTTTCACAGGCCAGGGGTACCCACCTTAAATGAAGAAGGTAGGGGTGGGAGGAGAAGGTGGGTACTGCACTTTAAACTAAACCACACAGAATTCATATTAAACAGATTGCCCTCACTGAAACCAGCATCAGTGGATATCTAATAATAGATTCAGTATGAGTAGGATTAGACCCCATTAAATGACTACGTTATGATAATATGTCAGACTGTTAGACTTTCAGTGTGCCTGTCATGTATTCCTTTTGAGCTGTGTTTCCAAAGCTAACCTTTAACTTCCAGCAATTTTCAGTGTCCAGAAAGGAATTGTTTTGAGGGTAAACTTTCAAACACAGTATGAGTACGGTATTATCAAATGTGTGAACCCATCTGGGAAATTCCTGAGGAAAAACCCATCAGGATACAAAAGCATTCTAAAGAAGGGAATTTTAGCTACCGGTATTCTGGGAAAAGACAGCCTGTCCCATATCTTCACATTGGGTTTAACATCTTTTTTTTTATTATTTTAAATATCCATTCCACTGAATATAAGGTCATTCTCTAGCACCAAGATATTTCTTTTGAGTCCTTAAAGAGGGAAGTGAAATGTATGTGTGTGTGCTGCAGAGCATGGAGAAATGATGAAAAGCTTTTTAGTCAAAGACCAAGTAACTTCCTGGAATTCAGACTGTGCATCAGAAAATGTTTGTAGGTGTTTTTGTTCTGTTACTTCCAAACCAGTTGCTACATTAGTCAGAAAAGTCAAGTTGGCTCATACTTGCAGGAGTCTGCACGGTTTGCACAGTTTATGCAAGCTGGATGGCATTTCCCCAACATTTTCATTTCTTCATTAAAAAGAGGGGAAAAAAAGGGGGGGCGAGAAAAAAAAAAAAAAAAAAAAAAAAAAAAAAGCAAGCAAACTCTGCAACATTTGAGTCTTTAGTCAAAACACTGCAGCATATATCCCACCTAAACTATAGTTTTAATGCTGTGCGTTTCCTTCCTGTAGGAGTTTTATTCAGCTTTCTAGCTCTTTTTTTTATCCATGATGGGACCAGCACAACTCAAATCCCACACTAAATGTAATACATCTCTCACATCAGAAATACTGCTTCATTTTAGCACAAAATAAAGAGTTCTAAGGAAAAAAAAAAAAAAAAAAAAAAAAAAAAAAAAAGCAGGTGATGGTAACAGCATGAACACTGAGCTGTTGCCTCACACAGGGTGCAGAACATCGATCAGCACCTTAAAGCAGCACCTCTGCCCACAGAGGCAGAGTGAAACGAGGCATCTTTGAGGCAGGCACAGCGCAGTAGCTCTGGCTCTTGCAGAGCAAGCTGCTTCCCAGAGAAACCAATCATCTCAGATAAGCTTACTGATGCTATCTCGCCTGTGTCTGAGCGAAGCAGCCACTACCAACATGCTCACCAACACCTGGAGCAGATCTGCAGGCACAGCAGCCACTGTCTCAGCAGGAACAGCTCATCAGCTTTAAGGGGTCTGTAAAGGGCCATTTGCCACTAAAAAGTGATGGCCTAGCATTGAGGTAAAGCAGTGGAATTGGTACTGCCACGTACTGTCCCACTCTGAGGAGAGTGCCTGTAAACACGGGTGTGGGCCTCAGCCCTGTGAACACGCTGCCCCAGAGCACATGAATCTCCAAATGTAGGCGTGCTGATGAGTGGTACAAATTGAGGGCTAATTTGTGACCATCTTCACCCACATCCACAAAGAAGGTGAAGGTGGAGCACTCCTTTCCGAGCTGATAAAACTGAGTCTAGGCACAGAGGAGAAAATAGGAGCTGTGTGGCAACTCTTCATTCCCCCACACCCCCGCCCCAGTTTGAACAGGTGCTTCAGGAAGGAGTAGGAGATAGGCAAAACCTTCATACCACCCCCACATGCCGGCTTGTACAGACAAGATGGCACAATGGCAGTTGTTCATAATGTGCAGCTGGTAAAGGTCAGCAGCCAAGATGAAAGAGAGAGGGAGTTGTGACTCAGAGATGTGTCAAGCCTCTCTGGGATTTTTCTTGGGTGGTGTGGTGCACACCCCACCTCTCACTTCAGGCTGTGCCTCAAGCCAAAATCTAGTTCAACTTGCCCAAGAAACCTACTGGAAACAACTGAGCTCAAATGCATCAGGGGGTGGGTAGAGCATAGGCTCTTGAAGCTCTCCCCCATACTGTTTTGCCAATATGCATTAGTATTAGTCTAGGTAGGCTATTTGTAGGATGAAAGGATATTTTGCGTACCTCCTACATGCTTCCCCACAGTGCTCCAAACAATACCTGTAAAGCTGCCAATTCAGAATAATTCTCTTGGTTGTTTCTATGATATAGCCATAGTTCTACTAAGACCATTTGATTTTCATCTCAAAGACCAAAGGGCAGCCGGTAGGTGATAACATTTTATGATGATTATTTGTGGAGACTAAACTTGCACTGAGAAGCAGATCAGACAACACCGACTACCCAGTCACAGCCAAAAACTGTGTCATGCATATGATGTACATATTTGACAGGCAAAAAGGTTCCCTACCCAGGACATTCATGCCATCCTTAAATTCCAGTCCCTTCTTAATGACCAGCTGGGCTTCTGGTGCTTCGCGCACTGTCTCATTCATGATAGCAAAGGCAGCATCAGTAACATTTGGTGGTTCTTCAATGGGTGGTGGCACCAACACTTTCTTGGTAACAGTTTGGATCTGAAAGCAATAAAAAGGGAGGATAAGAATGGAAACAGACCAAATGTAATATGGGAGATCAGGAAGTAATTAAAAAAATTTATCTTGAAATTCCAGGAAACTATATTTTTAAAGGATTAGACATGCATTCCACAACCTCTTACCCCTTCTTCCAAAAATAAGTTTGTTTTTCAATAGTTCCAAGTGTCACAAAGTCCTGGGAGTCTTCAGCACAACTCTGGTGTGAAAACTATGTTAAATACTTGATCCATATTGCTACTGCTCCTTTGTCCAGATGGTTCACAAATGGTGCTTCACAGATTGCATGTTACACATAGATATAATTTAATTAGCACCAAAAGGCAGGCACCTCTAAGATCAGTCACAGCAGCAACTCTATAATAAGGCTTGTTATTCAGGATGGGCTGTCCAGCTCAAGTTATCATAGTTTGATGGTTGACTTGAATCAAAAACTCACGACAGTTCCAACACTTTGCTCAGTGACCGTGAGCTCAAAATGAAACACATGGAATCCCAGAGCTTTCCAATTAAAACATTTTGAGTGACAGATAACAGAGGATCTAAGCTGCCAGACACCTACTAAATCTGACCACCTTAAAAAAGAAGACAACAAAATCTGAATGGCTCTGGACCTCTCCTGGCATATGAAAGGCAGGGTTAACGGAAAGATAGGAAGGAATGGTAAAGGGAGAAACAGGCTTGAGTTATGGCTGGGGGCAGGAGGGCAGGAAGGATGAATATAAAGAGGGAGATCTATGATTTGTTCTGTTAGAAGGGACTGTGTTTCTTTCCCACTTCCCACCCTAAGCCTTTCCTGCCTTTTCATGGCTCTGAGGCAGGCAGAATGCTTGAGAAGCTACAACTGTTTTGCCACTGTTTCCCATCTGCTCCCTACTTTCCTTGTTTCCTAGAAATAAAGTTTAAGCAAGGCATCAGATCCAGTGTGTTAGCCTTTCAAAGAGCATTTGCACCTCCTTCTTGTTGTGATGACAAACTGTAGTACTATAGATGATGATCCAGATTTGATCCACATAACGTTGTAACATACCTTACATATCTCCTTTCAAAACCTGCTGTCTGCACCTACAGAGGGGGTTGTAGACAGAAAGCCTACACAGCTACTGTATGAGAAACTCTTCAGTTGTCCTGAAACCATCCAACATGCCTACATGTTTTCATTTATTTCCAGATTTGAATTTTATCTGAGACAACTTCACTTTTTATGTAAGGTAGCCAGAATATAAGAGCAGAGTCACAGAAATTAACCTTAAAACATTAAAGCACTCACAAATTCCGCTGCTGTCACTTAAGTCTTCAGCTTTTCATCGCATAAGGTCATAGCACTAAAAATGCTGAGCCTAACATTAAGTTTAGATTACAATTGCCTGAGGCCTGAAAATCATTTGAGCGTTACAGTCATATTTAAACATAGGAGTCCATTTCTCTTCATGGCACACAAGAACTTAAGTCTCTGCTGGAATAGCAGTTTCTATTATAAATTAAGAATTTGTTGTGGACCGTGGAAAAATTCAACAGGTACTGAAATCCCATGATGGCTCAGAGTTCAGTTTCCAAATGAGCTATATCAAAATTGTTATTTAATCCCTTCATTATTTGTAGAACTCCCACATAGGTCACTGCTGCATAGCACCACTGTTGTGCATGCTTCAAAATCACTCTGCAGGAACTCTGCAAAAATTGCTTCCTCCTAAGAGAACCTGGAAACATTGAATGCTCATGGAGAGAGTCTGAATAAAAGTAGGAAGAGAAAATATATGTTGACACCATTACAAGTTAATTTTCCTACTAAACAAAGAGGGGAATAAGTAAAACGTAACTCCCTTACTGAGCAGTTAAGAGCTAATAGAAGGCACAAGTTCCATTTGGAAAGGAGCATGACTGATTTTGTAAATGAAAGGTGGCTCTGTGCAGAGGCATTCAATGGCAATTAATTTGGAATCTCATAAGATGAAACTTAGGAAAACCAAAAAGCTCAGTAAGGGACTATCCTTCAGGTGCCACCTAAATTACCAGGACTGTTTCCACTGACTTTTACGGGCTTTGAAATAGGTCTGCATAGGCAAGTTTAAAAAACAATCAACGGAATTGGTAATCCATAACAATGGAATTGAACTGAAGATTGATATTACACACACTGAAAAAGCAGTGTTAACTTTCCAAGAAAAAATAGTTGAAATGCATAGCTTAATTATTTTTTCTCCTGAATTTTGTCCCATTATCCAGATATTCAGCAACTTTCAACTGACTAGAAATTTAATTCTCTCTTTCATGGTTTAAACTGGGGAAAGGAAGGTAAAAAAAAAAAAGAGAAAAAAAAGAAAAGAAAAGAAAAAAAAACCATAAGCACCCTGTTCTCCCCTCACTCAATTTTGCAAAACACATTTCATATTACATGTGGTGTTTGGCCAACCACAGTTTGACCACAACTGACATTCCCATGATGATTTGGAAATATTGAGAATGTTCTCTCATTAAACCCCAGAGGACTATGTGTTTTTATGTGGAAGTCTGTGAAAGAAGTGAAGCAATCCAAATCCTTTTGGCATCTTAGGTTGCCCTCTGTTCTTCCACCCCCATGGCCTCTTCTCCCTTCCCCCTTTTCTCTTCACTCTTCAGCCATAACCACAGCTCCAGCTGTCATGCCATTTCACTTAGGAACATTTAAGAACAGGTTTGGCAATGAACCCCATTTCATCCAAAAAAAAAAAAAAAAAATCCTCATTACTGCCAAACAGTTTGGTTGTAGGAAAAAGTAGCTCACATAGAAGAATTTTGTTTAAGCAGAAGATCAGCAAGCATACCATCTTCATTTCTTTTTCCCCTCAAAGTGAAGCCATTTTGATAAAGCATTAGCAGAAAGCTTTCAGACAAAATTATTTACCTACACAGCACGCAACACATGGTCTAACATGCATCTTTCCCAGCATCCTTCAAACCTGGCCTGATGGAGCCACCTGTAGGTGGGTCAGCCACTTGAGTGTATTATCCCCATATAATCTGGATTGTAGTACAGCAATAGATGTTATAAGAGACTGGGTTTCACACTACATTTCCACTGGCAGCCAACCTGAATGAAGATCATCTATACATTATACACAGGCCATTATAAAACCATGAGTTTTGTAAGACCAAAACCAAATTCAACCAGGGTGAATGATCCTTTAAGTCATCATCCATTCAGCCACAACCTAGCATTCATGACCTTATATACTGTATACAAAGTAAGGAAAAGTTTTTAAGATTACCTAATAACAAACTAAAAATATTTCTTCTAAAAAAAAAATCTATGAAACAAAATAACTATGACATAAAACAAAGCAGCAACAAATAATATTCATTCATTTACCTGCACAAGACCTAAGACCTGTATTTTTCTTAGCATCATTATTTATGTCATTCAACTAGTGACATTAACTCTACAGACAACCATGGTAAATAAAAGATGTTTAAAAATATATATATTGCCAAGGAGTAGAAGGATTTACCTGCTGAAAACATGCTTGGACTAGATTTTCAGGGAACAGGTTTCGTATCAGATCCAAGAAGGCATCCAGACTAGATACTTCATCATTCTTTTTCCCTTGACCTAGCTGTTTCCTGAGTTTTGGATTCCCTGGATGGATAGCTAAAACCAGAATCACACCCAGCACGGCAGCAATAATAGTGGTGGACATGTAGTAGACCATGGCTCTTGTTCCCAATCGGCCACTTGCTTTAGCATCTAAACCAGACAGTCCTGCAGGTGTTTTATTTTTAAGAAACAAACAAAGAAATAGAGTTTCAATACCCACTTCAATAATCATCACAGAAAATACTGTCTAATTTACATAGTTTAATGTCTGCCTATTTCTTGTCTGTGCAAAATTCTCACCACTACATAGACTACTGAAGGTTCTCCCTCCAAATCTTATGTGAGCAATGTCTGCTGTTACTGCTTTGAAGAGAAGCATTTGAGATTTCAACTGACTGCACAGGAGACATTGAAAAATATAGAAGATATGATACCATCTTTTGCCCTTCATAGCTGCAAACTGGTCATGTTCTGGCTGACAGCACAGCTTTAAGAATGCTAGGCATTTGACTATCCTACCATATTATTTACAAGGTCCAATCCAGGGATTAGATATTAAGAAAATTCTCATGTTCAAGAAGGGAGTATGTGTGGATGTGTTTGAAAACAAATTCACCAGAGCATCTACCTATTAAAGCCAATAAAGTTAATAAGAAATTAACTCCAAAATACATGTTGTAACTACAAAGTCCCAGGATCACACTATTACTCTTCTTACATCACAAAAAGCAAACCAGGTGATTTCTGTAGCAAGCATCTTAAAGTATTAGATCTTACCTGTGATTAAACTGGAGATAATTAAAGGGAGGATCAACATTTTTAGCATCCTCATAAGTATATCTCCTGGGAAGGCTATTAACATGATGATGTCAGGGTCAATTGGTGTTGCTAGACGAAGAAGACCCCCACATAGTGCACCCAGGATGACACCTGGAAGCAGAATTAAAGACGGCAAGTAGACAAGAAAAATATACCTGAATGTACATTCATTACCCAGCAGAAAAGCCAAGAAGAAAAACATTTAAAGAAGGCAGCTGATTTTTGGTACAGAGACAGATTTTGGAAGGCTTAGCCTTCTAATTAATACTGGCTGTAACATGCTTGCCATGTATCTCACGATTAAAGAGAAATAGTCCTGAGCTTACGCCTCCTATGTTATTTTGCTTCTGCATCATGTTTTCCCAACAACATTATTGAGGTTTACTAATTCTGAGTAGGCCTTGTAATATGCTGAGGGATAGTCAGACTTGAGACACCAAGAGGTGAAGTGAATTATACAAGGTCATTCAGGCTTGGTAGAAGAGCTACGGTTAGAGTCCAGATTTTCTGAGTATGACATCTAGCTCTCAACATCGGAATGGTACTGCTTGAAAACAAGGACAGCATAAGTAGCTATTTTACAGACTAAGAAAAACCCTACAGGAAATATAGAATAGTTTTGCATGGAAAATAGATTCAAGCTCGGCCAGTCATTTGTTAGCAACATGGTCATCTTGTTATCTGGTTTTATCACTATCAGTATACTATTAAGCAAAATAGGAAATTAAGCGAGAAAAAAAAAAAAAAAAAAAAGGACCTAGCAGATTCCAGCTCCCTTTCCACCCCAAGCTCTGATGGATCCTTTCAAGCAACCAGACACCACTTTTCTACTCAAACCTGAAACTCCCACAGAGCTGTTTTTCATCCTTTTAAGTGCCTGACCTGAAATATAGCGCATGAAGAAAACTTGATTGAAGAAAAACCTGATTCTTGGTACCAATTTACTGCTCCCTCTCTTTGATGGACTGCATTCTTCTGTTCTAATTGTACTAATGCTCTCAAATAGTCATTACCACAAACAATCCCTTCATCACGTGTAGAAGTATAGTGTGATAACACCTAAACCTCTCTCTCTATGGACTGAGGCTGCTAAAGCACTGTCTGTATGAAAAAAGGCCACATTTACTTCCATAATACAGTCTTTGTGAATGCATATTTTATGTTTATATTCAGGATGCTTTGTCTTCTTGATCCCAAGCCCATTAAAAAGTCTCAAGTGTAATAAAACTTGACAGAAAAGCCCAAATTGTGATTTGCAGCAACTATGACTCTTTGAAGTCTCAGTTTGATACAAAGGAAAATATACATATATTTAAAACTTTTTGTGGAATTGCATCAGGAACCTTCTAGAGATGATTCAAAGCAAATACCCTGTATAAACACTTCAGCAGTACAGGTTTTGAAGGATTAAAACTATGGATGTGAAATTTGATGCTCAGGACCAGCTGTAGTTGGGCTTTCAAACAGTAACAAAATAGAGCATGTCTACGAATTTGCTGCGTTAGGCTGTTAGGCTTTCAGTGAAAATGAGCCAGGCAAGGAGCCAGTGAACCACAATAAAATGTCAAACTGCTCCATATTTGGGAGTTGCTGAAGCCAGGGGCAATATGCAGCATGAGATCACTGAGTGCTGGCTTACAGCTACAGAGAGGGGGACAAACCTTAAAAGCAGCAGAGCAAGAATTGAGACATAAAAAGATGAGGAGAAAGAAATTCTGAAAAGTTTTTGTCTTTTTCTTTTCAAGTAACTGAGAGGGAAAAAAAAAGTGCAGTGCTATTAGTTGTACTGAATTACACTGATCTGGCTCGCCTTGGGATTTAGGTTGCATTCCATTAAAAAAGAAGATGGTGTGTAGCTCAGTGGGGTGGACTTGTTCCATGCTGTGTTAATAACACTCTGCACACCTGAACTAGAGTGACAGTGCCTGAGGGCATCCTACTTCAGCTAGAACAGCTGAGGAGTGCGGAAAGGGGCTGTGGTCCTCCAGGAACAAGTACAGATACACCGAGCATCCAGAGAAGCAGAAGTAGCTTACCGAATACAGTAAGAGTCAGGAGCAGATTCCTGCGGAGCGACTGGCAAAGCTGCACACATATGTTCCTGGATCTGTGCTCCACTGGACTCAAATGACTTTCATGCATCCGCACTTCTACTTGCTTAGGCATATTGTTGGCACTAGAATAAAAAATGAAAATCAAGTAAAGTTATAACACAAGATGCCAAAAGTGAGAGGAAAGTCTGGATTACTTCCATCATATATAACTGATGCATATGAATCTGATGCATATTCCATGGCTTCCCACATTTCATAAACACTTTATCTTCACTGCTCTAAGGAGAGGCCTCTGAAATGCTAATGTCTGAAATGGTCCTTCTAAAGGTTTAGCCATCAGGGTATTTTTTTTGTGGTTCTCTCTTAAACAGTGGAGATATAACCAGAATGAATTCACAGGACACATCATGCCAACTGTTTCATGAAATAAAATATTTGTCTTGATCTGGACAATCTGGTTTCCCCAAAGATCATGGCTGTCTACTGAAATCAGAGAGATGTCTGAAGACCAAAGTTTCTATTAACAAGAAAATGCAGATTTCAATTCCATTCCAGAAAAGGAGTTTAAAAACAATGATTTATTTACAAAATATCCCATTCCAGACTACTTTGCTTAATCTTTCCAAAATGTTTCACTTCAACATTTAACATTTAATGTAATATAATCGGAATGTTGAGGTCAAAAGAATCTTTTTCAACCTGGTTCTAATGAGATTTGATCAACTGCCACTGAAACATCATCTGAAAACTACACATTCTCTGTGAAAAACTTTGGTTTCATTGAATTGGCAGTGTTTAGAGGAAAAGATGTTGTTGTTGTTGTTGTTATTGTTTTTACCAATTGTTTTATATTTGAGTAAGTGATACACACATGAATGCAGGAGTTTGAAAGCCATACAACTAACTTTAACTTTTCAATGCCCAAGAAATCATTAGTAACAGACTCTCTTTTTATATACAAAATCTTTAAATATACTTGGAAAAAATACACTAAAAATACTACCATAAATAAAACAGAGTTTCTTCAAAATTTTGGTCTGTCTACTTAAATGGGAGAAATGAGTGAAGAACACTTTTAGCATTTTTATCATGAAGAAAAATAAGAAAGAAAAAAAAAAAAAAAAGATTGAGATCTGGTCTTGCACCAGATTAGAACATTTCAGAAAAAGGAAACCAAATCTGTCTTTACAGGAGTAAATTGAGGTTTACAGGCCTAAAATAGGCCTGAAAAGACAGACAAAATTATGATGCTCTAGCACTTTTTAAGATGTTATTAAGATATTGTCCCACTGTGAGTCTGTCTGGAGCATACCAGTGTAACTGCCACAAAAGAAAACAAGATAAAACATCTCCAGGGAAGCAAAACATTTCTGTATTACATATAGTACCGGTTCATTTTCTTCATAAAGTTTCTCAACAGAGAGTTACAATTAGACCTGTAAGAATTCTGTGATTTTGACACAAACAGCTCCATGATGTTGCCACTCAAAGTGAAATGGCATTTTTTCCCAATACACCTGGTTGTTAAAAAGCAGCACCAGCAGAACATATATTAGGTTAGGAGATACTTTTTTATTATTATTATTTAAGGTGGGGGGGGGATTTCTAGGTGTTGCAATTTTGATTTTGTACCTTTTAAAATATTTTACAGTGGTAGAATGTACTTCTGACTGTGGAATAACAAACTAGAATACCAGTGCATATTCTTGCAGATTAAATGAGAAGCATGCCTACATCTCGAATAGTTATGAATGCAAATATCAGAGGTAAACAAGAATTATCCATGGGATAAATGTTCATAGCAGTTAGTTGAGGTGCTGTAAGAGAAATTAGATAGTGTCTGTAGCACTCAGACACATGGGTAACAGAGCCATGAAATCACAGGCGGAAACATGCCACAAAATCAAGGAATGTGGAATCTAAACTTTGCAACTGGCTACCACGTCTAGTCTCACTTGTATGCTGAATGTAAGCGTGTCACTTGATTAGACTTATATTCACCACAGGTTGATCATACATATTCATCTGAAACTGACATATGGGCAGTTGAAAGTAGTTCAAAATAAAATGTTAGAGACAACTAGGCGGAACCAGAATTTGTCAGTAGGCAGACACACCTGATGATGTTATATATCTCTGCAGGATTTTGCTTTGAGCTAGGTTGTCTGGTTTCCCTGAATGGATGCTGTACCTTTCCCACCCAACCCCATGCCCATAGCTTCACAGTGTCCAAAGAAAAGCCACCTCACCACCTTCTTCCTCAGCTGTGGTCTATTCTAAATGCCTTTTCCCAGACACACAGACAGAAGCATTGCTCAAAGAAGTCCTTCCATGAAGAAGCAGGCCTCTGATCATGCTCTTGTATTCAAGCCTTATTTCTATTCCCACTCATGTCTAAGTGACATCTTGGTGTTTGCTGGCTAGATCCTCCTTGCACTCTGACCAGCAACCAAAAAGCACAGGTTCATGAAGTGAAGGGGGTTGGACCTCCTCCCACAGCCGCAGTGACCACTTCAGCATCCCCCAAAGTGGACTGAACCCAGCTCTGCATGAGGTTCTCAGACAACACAGAGCTTTTACATAACAACAAACCTCATATATCCAAATGCCCACTGAGAAGAGAAGGAAATGAGGACACAAAGCTCTTTAAGGACATTTCTAAATTTCCAGGAACTTAATACCACATTGTGTTTCTCTCTAAAGTGTGAAAAATGTGTTTTGCACTCACCAGCTCTTCAAGATTGTAAGCAAACCTCCAGCATGGACTGAAATTGTGACTGGTATGTTGTTTTTGTATTTTTGTTTTGTTTTTAAAGAAAAAGATCTAATACTAAAATGTGTCAACTGTATGGATCTGTTACAAAAAGTGTTGACAGATGAACATAATCACGTACAAAACGGGACCACAAAGGATAATTATCTAAGCATCTGCACTGTTAGCACTGCTCTTAGCAACAAGATTTTTATCACTAGACCAGAGACAAGGTATCTTCCAGACTTTTGAGGATGTTGCAGAGTACAGAGCGCCTCTGTTTGCACCTTGCAAATGCTATTTACCTCCAAAAGGATGCAGAACTTTTAGCATCTAAAGTCAGCTATCACGTAATGACATAACTGCGAGACGTTCCTAGAGAAGTCAATGAAAGATGTGCAGATCAAAGTTAGGGCAGAATCTGGGCCTTCATGGGCCCCATCTGCCAGCCTGAGGTTGATTTCAGTGGGTTACTTAAACAGAAAGGTACAGTTCCCTCCGAGCAAGAGCAGCCAAATACCCTCCACTGCCTATCAGAAGGCAATGTTAGCTACAGAAAGCACTGAGTGGTTGTTTTGTTTTCCCCACCCTGAGGAGAGGAGTGGAAGACTGTGAATGGCCTGAACTACTGTGGTCTGATCTCATGATGCTCCAGCATCACAGCAGCTGCACCCCAGAACACAGAAGCAGCATCGCCCTCTCCTTCCTAACACGTCTCTGTTTCTGGGACCCCTGCCCCGTTCAGCCCTGCTCTCAGTGCCCAGGGCAGGCCCAGTGGCACAGCAAGTCCCACCAGCAGAGGAACTCCCATTTTCCCGAAGGCACACTGACATTGCTGCGAATGGTCTCAGCCATGCAGCAGTTCTGCCTGCAAGTGCCCTACGCACCCTACACAGATCTGTCTGTTTCTCTCACGTTACTTTTGGACACTACTTTCCTCCTTCACACTGCACAGTCGCCTCCTCACATGTCCAGGCAGAAACTCTTATTCCCTGACCTCTGAGGTGGCAGCAGCATCAAACTGAAGTTTTCTCACCAACACGTGCTTGGTGAGGAGCACATCCTTTACACAACAAACAAACAAGAGAAAACTTGTGCTGCAGATTACTGTAAATTCAGTGAATATGTTACTCCAGCAACCCCCCTGGATCTGGTCTAATCCTCTGCTATCTTTCCAATACATCAGTGCATGCTCACATGCTCCGCTTTCTCCATACCATGCAGGCCACAGTGCTGTGCAAAAGCATGCAGGGCAGGGGCTTAAACATGTATTAAGCATCCTCGTGCTTCAGATTTTCCTGCCCAAGGAACAAATCAATGCATGCCAGAGCAGAGCTTCAAGGCGCCCCAGCTCATGGGCATTCCTGGGGCCCCAGCACAAAGCCAGGAAGGTACCAACAATGTCAGCCCCTTCTGTGTCACTGGACTCTGCTAATATAATCTTTATGTCAATGGTACCTCTGTAGGTAGGTGTCATAAAACAGCACTGGATGCATTTCAGCAGCTGTGATATCTCAAACATGCAAATGATTACCTTGGTTAAATAAATTGTTGTTCCACTGCGCTGAGCTTCCATGGTTATTCAAACCAGCAGAGCATTCTGAAAGCTCGTCTGAAACCCATCAGACCAAAACCTCTTTCAGCCTAATTTCACTGAAGCCAGAACACTATAATATAAATTAACTCTGCTCATTATTTTCATGTGTCATAGTGACAAGCAGCCAAACAGCTAAGCTCTGGAATAGGCCCACAGAGAACTGTAAGGACTGAGACCTCCGAATAAAAGAGAATGCTTTCTGCTGACTCCTGGCACTTGAAAACATTGACAAGACTTGCAAAAAAAAATAAACTGGATACTGGAAAATGCGTAGCCACGTGAAACAGTACATACCAAGAGCTAGATGCTTATAGTGGCTTTTGAATGATAAATATGATCAAATGCCTAGCCCAGTCCACAAACTCTTCTCCCTTTTGAGGCAGTGCTTACCCTGTACATAAGCATCTCCAAGTGAATACAATCTGTTTTTTCATCTACTCCAAATACCCTCTACCCTGCCAAGGCAGTATATGTGTGCATTAATAGAAACAAGTAACAAAATTCAATTTTCCTGCCTTTTAAGCAAGGAATCCACCTCTTGCCCAAATAACCAGGAGATTAGCCACTTGCTCATTCCAGTATCCCGCATCCCCACAGTATGCCCAAGGTACAAGAAGAAAATCTGTCCAAAAGTGTTTGATTTTAGATTACCTAAATGTTTAGAGTTACTTTTGCCTGTTAGATATAGAGGGCTGTAAATTATCTGTAGTTTTTAAACTGTAGTTTGTTTCTCTTTCTGGTTATTACACATAATGGTGTAAAAATGTAGGAAA